TAAAGCGCCATAATTGTCCATCCAAGGGTTTATATAGTTTAAGTGAACAGGTTGAACATCAAAAATAAGTTTAACAAACTACTACTGCTACTTTAACTGTTTGATCAATTTTTTTTCAAGGCAAAACGGTAGACCCTGACTTCCAATGCAGACCCTCTAATAATGACTCTATGGTAAAACAATATAACAGATATACATAAGGAATATCAGCCAGTGTTATGATTGTAACGCTATTACAAACACGTCAGACGCGTGTGTTAAAATCATCAAGCCCCATGTAAAATGGTTTTGGGAGTATGAAACGCTCCGGTTGATCAATCGTTTGTAACTGAGGTAAAAATCATTTTGTAAATATAGCAATTGATGGAAAATATATGAAATCATGTCAGTAGATTATTGTCAGATGCTTTAATAATAAAATGATTAATAAATTATGCGAGATCAATGAAAAATGGAAATGGAAACCACATATCTGTCATAAGTGTATTTCACAATGTATAAATGTAATTTGTATCTAGTCCACCTTCTTGGTAAGCTTGTGTGGAGCCTGTATTGTAGAAGCGAGAGGTTGGGGAAGTGAATTCATTTCTCATACTTTTATATAAAAAATGTCAATTGTCGGACCTGTTCAAAACTATCTCCAATTTTTTTGAGCCAGAAAACAGAACCATACCCTGTTGTATCTAAGCCCATGAATCCAGCCATCATGTTATCAATAACATAAATAAGGTTTATTTTAAGCGTCAATAAGGATATTTATTACAAGGAAAGAGATACAGTTTGTGTGTTTGTAATTTACAGTGGAACTTCGTTTGTGGAGAATGCCCAGAGCCTCGCGGAAAACTGACACAGGTGCCCTGTATCTCTATCGGCATGATGATCGGGAACTTTCATATTTCCAACTTTTTTCGGGTACCCTTATTATCTTTTGTATAAATAAAAAATTTTATCCAACTAGCTTTACGGGAAAGTCGGTTAGTTCTATTTATAATGCACGGAGGGCCCCACCTGGGGTTCTAAACCTCTTCCACTTTAAGTTGGAAATTGCCCCATATCACCTCTAACTTGTTGGTGCAACGTTAAAATTTCAAAACCAAAATTATAATCGTGCCTAACACAATTATGTTATCCCTTGCTAATTCTTATATACCTGCCTACCATACATTCTGTCAGTTTTAATTCCTGGGCAACACAAATTTTGCCATCGTTTACTTTTGTTTATATCGTTTTCCTTGAAATGCTCAGATTTTATCAAAACTATTTATTGAGGGATATATTTAATGTAAAAAACTTATTCTGTTCATAAACATTTGCAATATGATTTCAAGTAAATGGCTCTAAGCATGTCTTCCACCAGTCCGTAATATATTCACAATAAAAACAAAGGTGCACTTAGTGTTCTCTAATTTACTTATTTTACTTATTTTATTTTAACTTATTTACAAATCTTAGCAAATAGGGCGGGCATCATGAAAAACAAACCAACATATGACTGAAGATGAGTAAAGATGTAATATTGTTAAACTATAAACAAACATATTCACAGATCGCTTTGAAGAAAAACTATTATGGGTTATTGGGTCACGTGGACAGTTTTTGGGATTTCTTCTTGCAACCAGCATTTAGTGGGAACTATGTTGTCTTTGTGATTTTTGCGCTTCTTGGCGGGATTCTGTCAACAGGTAAAACACTTAATGTGCATTGCTTATACCTTTACCTGCTGGTACAAAAGTGATTAGCATTCGCCAACATTTCCGTGAAGTCCGACAGGACTCTATACTTTTTGTGGCTCAAGTTATTTAGTTTGAAAATCCCTTAACATTCAAATTGCTTCCAACCGGTTTTATGGTAGCATACGTAAGTATGATCATATCTTTCATAGCATCAAAGGCAGGAATTAAATTACAAATTTACTTTAATTAGAACAGTGATTATCACAATAACATCACCATTTCAAGTCCAATTATTTCATGTAAAGAAGTAATTACATTTACATTCCACCTTCATGAATTAACAGTTTCTAATCAAATAAATCAGTCAATAATGTGTTCTCGTATTTCTACATTACAGGGTCTTCTAGCTGGTACAACGCTTTCTTTAAAAACTCTCCAAGCAGAAGATCCGTCATTACTGTGAAGTTTTAGCCCCTACTATGTTGGACTTCTTCGATTTGTTTAATGTCTCCAATAGCCTACGCTCTTCGCAATTTTCCATGGAAATATCTTCAAATCACCTATGCTATGTGTAGCGCCTGGTCCATATTCCAGTGGTGGTTTGTATTTCGTTATTCTTTACTTGTTTTTGCAATCTGAATAAAGTTCAGTTTTTCTTGCATAAATGCCTCATGTGTAGCGTTAATTGGAAGCTGGTTTTAATCTGATTGACTGTTTTCGGAAATATTCTTGGCTTACGTATCGAGGAACAATCACATTTATTGACTTCTGTGAAAATATGATGTTTTAATGTTAAAAAGTTCAATTATTTCTGACATGTAGGCAAATGGCAAACACCGCTTCAGCTTAACGCTATCTGATGACAGTGTATGGTTTTTGATAAAGAAGCGGGCACATCTGTAACGGTGTATTCTGCATAACCGAGGTCCACCTTGGCTATTACGTTGGTTTCTCAAAACGAAAACGAAAATCAGGGAAATGAAAACGAAAGTGATTATCGAACCATAAATTAAATCTGTATTATGTTTGAAATATATGCATGCACAGTATCTAAACAAGTCGACTTTCTGTTATCGCAAGAAAAGTTCAGGTTAAATTACATAGGCTCACAGGTCGAAATGGACACGTGCTTGTAATCGCAGGACAGGGTACACGTTGAAATGTATAGGCTCGCAAGTTAGGAGACAGTGATTTCGTTTATGCAATGTAATGGGCAGACATATTATAAAAGTTAGTTGATATATACACGATTAGCTTTTAAATATTTATAGAAACTAGTACATATTTGTTGATGGTCTTCATTGTCCTTTCATAGCTTTCTATTGAGCCAATATTCCATTTTGACTGATGTCAGGTTTACGGACGAGTCATGCGCTGCTGGTCATTAGCAAATGGTCAGATTGGTAGGGCAAAGGAAATTATCAAAAATTGCCTGTAAATGGAATGCGGAAAGACTATACAGAAGTAATGGAGAAGATTGGATGGGGGAGGCCTCCTTGATGCTGATAGTAAACTGGTGTGATTATCACTGACTATATACAGTGAAAAAGAACAAACAGCACTTGGACCTTTGACCGCAGATATTGTATGAACATAATATCGCTGATAATCATCAAACTGCTTCGAACCAGATTAAAAGTAACGCTCAAGCCTCGCGTGGTCCTCTGGTACGTCAGAATGGTTTTGAACGCTCAGATTCAGAACGGAAGTAGTAGACGAGGTCAGTCAAGATAACGATTTGAAAGTACAAAAATACACAGATTTTTGATATCTTCATGGCATAAACGTATCCCTTGATAGTGTTCAATGTCATGTGGGTATTCATTGGTAAAGTGTTACATGGGGCAAATCAAATTGGCCGATGGGATGGGAGATGATACTACCCCCCCCCCCGCCCTTTTAAAATTATAACAATTACCTTAAAGGGTTTGAACATTTAACTGCCCGTAAGTAGATAAATATTCAAAATTTACCTAGCCTCACCTCGAAAAGCCTTAGAAAATTTACCCTCTCTGCCCTCTGAAATATGCATCACCCTTTGTTAACATTTCGTGAATCGTTTCCCCTACCCTTCCCCTCCCAGCATCGCAAACACTTCTTCCATGTTTTACAAGAATATAAAAATAATATTTTAGCGTCTTTCTACATGGAAAGAGTTTCTTTGTTTGTTTGTTTGTTTGATTAGGTTTTACGTCACACCAACACAGTATATGGCGACGTTTCAGCTTTACTGGTGGAGGAAGACCTAAGGTGCCCTTTCGTGCATTATTTCAGGCACGAACGGGCACCTGAGTAGAACCACCGACGTTCCGAAAGTTAGCTGGATAGCTTTCTCACATGAAACAATCCAAATCCCTTGTCGGGATTCGAACATGATATAAAGTGGAGGCAACATATATACATGTATTGGCACTTACTGTTTACCGTTGACAGATATAAGCCTTTCTGGGTAGTATAATTTAATTTTGTTTTTTATACTTCATTATAATTATGTAATTCATATATTACATAGTTTAAACTGGATTTCTGTTTTACTTTCGATGTGTGTCAAATCATATAATTATCCTATAAGTGCTAGGACAAATGTTATAATTACCAGACACGATCTAAGAAAAAGAGTGCATGCAAAGTTTATAATTTTTTAAAGAAAAAGAAATGTATATGGAATATTTTTTTATTCTGAACGAGTTTTAATAAATTAATGTAAATGTGGTTCAGCAATAAATGTCAGTTTAATTTGTTCACATGATTATATTAAATCAAGGTCTACGTGCAGTGTTAATCGTAAAACATCGGGTATTCCCGTATATTTCCGATAAGAGGCCTCGAATACACTGGTTTCTAAGGCAGTGTTCGTTCGCGAGAAAGAAACGTTCTCCTAAAACTTCTGCAAATTTTATCTATGTCTGATTTAGAAGGCAAACTGACTTTTAACAATTTCAAAGTATCACTATTGTTCTTTCTCCCACTGAATAAAAGAAACAATACATTATCACTTTCACCACAAAGGCCGCCATTTTACCATGCATGTAACTGAAAGTAGTTCCAATATATCGCTTTTTATGTCTAAGGCCTACTGCGAAGCCTAATAGCCGTAGAAATCAGATTACGTGCATAATATCTAGTTCATCAACAAAATCCCCAACAATAAAAAGTTACCATTCTATTTCCAGGCGTTGTGCAGTTAATTTTATCAACTGTCCCTTTGCCAAACATCTCAATAGTACTTTTTTACGTGAATAGAGCAGCACCTATACTGCCTTGTACAACACGTTATATATATATTATACATGTGAAACAAGTTTTAGTTAATCTTTTTCAGGATTTGTGACAGTTTTGTGTACTTTGGTTTGTATATGACGTCATCAGATCTCTATGGTGACCGATATCTCAACTTCTTTCTGAGTGCCGCAGTTGAATATTTTTCAGCCTTTATAGAGTACTTGTGTCTAGCCAGGTAAGTCATCAAAATCCTAAGTAGGTATATCATGTTGAATATCATATATTATTATATATTTATTAGGAATTAATCTCGACACAGACGTAGATTTTTCATTTGAGGGGAAGCTATCCAATGATAAGCTTGCAAAATGTCAAGGACCAATTTCGAGGTTTCTAGCCAGGTACATACACACATGTTCCCGTATTAGTAGACGAACTAAGAAAGCTTGAGAAAAGCACTAAGCCAACCAGATTACTGCTTTTTACGCATATATTTCAAAATTTAACAAAACATACTGTGCTGTTTTATATTACAATATTGTTTTGCAGCATATAGTTTGCAACAGACTAAATATATGCTGCTGATACTCTGTTTAGTGTGTACATGGGCAAATCAAGTTTTCCCTACACCACTGAATACTTTAAAAGGGCGTGTCCATCTTTCAATCTGGACAAGAAAATTAGTTATTTTTAAGAAAAGCTTCACAATTAATGCGATAGAAAACGAAATGTGCAGACTATAATCAGAAAGCACGGATATCCGGAGTATTCTTGGCCTCAACTGGTCTCATGGAGGGTAAAATAAGTTTCTAAGTTCCTGATACTAGCCAGTGAAGGGTTGGTAGGAATATATAAACAAGAGAACTTACGATAACAGATGATAATTTCCGAAACATTATTCACTTTTGACGGATATATTTGATCTAATTGCCCTTTGTTCCACTTTACCTTGTTTCAGGATAGGACGTAAATGGACAGCTATCATTGGTCATATCATTGCTGCAGTAGGGTTGGCTGTCGCTACAGGATTAACATATACAGCAGGTAATAGGTAGTTAAGCAAATGAATAGATATAGTATTTTGCATCGCCCTGTTAAGCTCAACTAGTATAGCGTTGGTTTTTGAATAGGGTGACCCGGATGGCACAGGTCACTTTCTTTGTGATTGATCATGAAATCATTCATCGCACGGTATGTACAAAAGTAACGAGCAATTAATAGCGAATATGAAGGCAACTAGTACTGGTAATTAAACTGCTTGAACTGTGCTCTGGTGAATTTGATGTGGCTTGCTATCGTGATCCAAGAATGTGCAAAAACCCATCCAGATATAATTTCATTTGCCTGCATCCAATCTAAAAAAAGTCATTTTTTAATTCCGTGTCTATATTTATTCAGCGCTTTAACCATATTGAGCCGTATTAGCCAAGGAGCAAAACAAACAACAAAAAACATATGGTTCCTCTATATGACAGATGAGTATGTTTTTGGAGAATGTAACTGGCTACCAAAAATAAAATTTTTGAGAGAAATAAAAAAGATACATTGTTTTAGCTTTATGTGCCCTTTAGGCATAATTCATCTGTATAAATATATGTAATAAAACTTGATGTTAGAATAATAGAATTATGATAGTGTGCCATGGACTGAAAACCATAGTAATATATATACGCTCCTATGATTTTTAATCTGTTCTATATAAATGTTAATAGCAAACAGTAAACTCGTACCATTATTCTATTATAGGTGGTAACTCTGGAATGCTTACGGCAGCTACAGCATTTATGTTAATTGGGAAAATGGGAATAACTACTGGGTATAGTTCAATCTATCTCACTACACCAGAGCTTTATCCAACAAACATGAGGTAACAGTTAGACTTATAATACTGGGTTGTTTTTCATAGAAAAGTCCTAACTCTTAGGACCAAATATGAGACAATATTTGTTTCAAAGAAAATGTCATTACTTTTGAATAGCGATGCAGATGAACATTTTTACATTACGGTTTAAACTGCGTGCTATTGTATTTTGTAACTTTCCTCAGGAGAATGAATTAAATAAAAGTCTAAAACTTTTTCTGATTATGAATACACGGGGTATTTATTGAAACGGTCTTAAGTTAGTCTTAAGTTTGTCATAAATCCTAGGACTTATAGGATACACTGAAGACTTTCTATGAAACACAGCCCTTTATTTTAGAAACATCGGTTTTCATAGTATAATCGTGAATTTTTAATAATCTGGTTATATATAGATGGCTCTTGTAAACCTATCAATCTCCTTGTGAATAACACATTTTTCTTCAAAAGGAGGCATTGCGCTGGGTTATAAATTTGCTGTTATGATTTTGACAGTTTATATGACCATAAAAAATCATACTTATCTGTAATGTAACCACCGCCAATCCACTCGAATTATATGACCTTCCAACCTTTTAAAGTGGGTCATATAATTCGAAACTTGTCAAAATATCTTTATAGTGGATGATATAAAAGTTCTAAAGTGGATGTGAAAGGAACCCTTGCCATTGATAGATTCTTACCCTTACAATAGATTTAACCACAACCATTGACATGTGCACTTTTACTAACAAATAGATAATTAGAATTAGACAGGTCAGGGATCGTTTCTTTAGATAATGTGTTTTTGAAACAGTAGATATGTATTGTATCTGCACTTTTACTTTAGCTCGTAACTAGTTTATATGTATATATGTATGTATACATACAAAAAGTTGAAAGGAAGCTAGATCTAATAAAAGAGTTATTGTATGTTAAATGTAGAGCAAATGGGCAGTTAATAACCGCAATTGCTGTTAAACGGTTCCATAATTACTGCGTTTTATAGAATATTTAACACTAAGTTGTTATTAATTGTTTTACATTGCTTATGATTAGTTATATATGTACAAATGTATATGATTATTACAACGAAGATATTTCTAACCAAGACTTAAATGAACACAAAAGAGGGTCAACAAAAATGTTTCAAAAACGTATGGCCCAACCCTTTTGTATATTTGTATAATAATGTTGATATAAAAGAACTAAGTCTCTTTATATATCCAATGAAATAATATTAAACAAAACATGTTTGTAAATTCACAGAATATGTTTGTTAATTATTTGTTTGTCTTTGTATTTTTCCACAGAAATATTGGTCTTGGGGTTTGTTCCTTCATGGAAAAGGTTGGATCTATGATTGCTCCATTCTCCAGGAATGTGGTAAAGTTCTTTTGCACCGTGCAATTTTGTATCCAATAATTACCAATTCTCAGAAAGTTATTGAACTTTCAGCATTATTCGCCACTTTCCGTGTTTTATAGCTATCAATTAAGCTTTCATATAATCATTACCATAACAAAACAATTGTTTAATAATCTAACACTTTAAAAGGAAAAACGGAAAAATACGCAATTTGCTGAAAAACGTATCTAGTGATGAACGTTATGACACATTTAAGACCGAATCGTCTTTAGTAATCAAATATAACGGAATGTAGTGTCAGTCTACTTTAAGTTGCTTTTTCATTATTCTGTTCTAAGTTTGAAATAAAGTATTACCTCCCATTACATAATAATGCACTATTTCTCTTTCAGTCAAGTGAGATAAAATGGCTGCCGCCGTGCGTGTTTGCCGTCATGTCTTTAATCACAGTGATATTATTTGCATTTGTGCCGGAAACCAACGGTGTTGAACTTCCGCAAACAGTAGAAGAACTCAGTGAATGGTATCGCGTGAACAAATTTGAACTACGAGTTGGCAAAAATAGACTGGCAACTAAAGAGGTTGAAAATATTGTAAAAGAATAGAGAAACTCATTGTTGATTTTTAAACAGAGCCTAGAAGTTTTAAGAATTTCAATGAAGCTGCTCTAAAAATGACTTATCTTCAATGAAACGACTGGTGTCAAACTGTATTAGCTATACTGTTTATATAATAGGTCGACTGATTGATTGATTGATTAATTGATTGATTGATAAGATTGATTGAATGATTGATTGATTGATTGATTGATTGATTGATTGATAACTGAATCTTTAAAGGAATGGTGAAACACAATATCCATAAGGAATTGTTTTTTATTTTACTCTTTAATAGTTCTACATCTAACATTTGATAAATCAACAACAGTGAATATAATCTATATCATGCATGTAGCATTATATGAGTAGGCAGGCGGTATGTGAAGCTTGACTGCATGGTTTATTTTGAATGACACCACTAAATAAACATAAATGAGATAAAAAGTGAAACATTATATTGTCATTGGGGGGTAACGGTAAAAAATCACCCAGACATTTATATATATAATTAACAACTACATTTATTTAAAAGTACTTGAATAGAACGAAACAGAAATAAAAATACATGAGCATAAAGTATTTAAAAAATATCTTCCAAACTTTTTTAATCAATGGAGTCAGTGCATTGAAAGAAAATGCCAGTTCAAAAATTCATAATACGTAACAGATCATGGCAAGAGCATTATTCTATGTTCTCAAGCATCTTATTATAATAACCTGATCACTGTTATAGTTTTCATTAGACATGAAAACATTTAGATAGATCATCCAGAGTGACACTAAAATACACTCAAACCTGTAAACAAAGGCCACCTGTAGGAGAGGCTGAATATAACGTAACGTTATCCTGGTTTGTCAACGAATAGTTTGTGTGTACAGGTTGATCTTTATTCGTAGTTTGTCTTTAAGACAGGTTTGACTGCAGTTACAAATTCCAACCATGCATAGTTTAACGATAACTTGTAATACATTAAAAAAGACGTTGGTTATGATTTACAGGAATAAAATGAATGGAAAATTGTTCAGTATTTTGTCTTAAATTATTCATAATTGTTTTAACATTTTTATTGCTGACGGCACAATTGAGTTTTGTGTTCTTTAAGTAATTGTTCTTTAAGAAGTTGTGCCCAAGTATGAAACCTTCAATGTATAAAGACAATCTATTAAGAACTTTTTTTTTAAAAAAAGGGCAATGTTAAAATTTTCGGAAATGTTTTAGAGCTAAATGAACTTGCATTGTCAAAATGTAAAAGATAAAGACATGATACATACTGATAATTTCATCTCACAATGGAATTTCACACTATAATGTACATGAAAGCAAACGTACAATTCATTGTGCATGAAAACCTTGACCCAACTTCTTACACACAGTAAAAACAATAAGTGAAAAATGATTTGGCCCAACTTCTTACACAAAGTAAAAACAATATGTGAGAAGTGATTTGGCCCAACTTCTAACACACAGTAAAAACAATAAGTGAAAAATGATTTGGCCCAATTTCTTACACAAAGTAAAAACAATATGTGAAAAATGATTTGGCCCAACTTCTTACACAAAGTAAAAACAATATGTGAAAAGTGATTTGGCCCAACTTCTTACACAAAGTAAAAACAATATGTGAAAAGTGATTTGGCCCAACTTCTTACACACAGTAAATACAATAAGTGAAAAATGATTTGGCCCAACTTCTTACACAAAGTAAAAACAATATGTGAAAAGTGATTTGGCCCAACTTCTTACACAAAGTAAGAACAATATGTGAAAAGTGATTTAGCCCAACTTCTTACGCACAGTAAAAACAATATGTGAAAAGTGATTTGGCCCAACTTCTTACACACAGTAAATACAATAAGTGAAAAATGATTTGGCCCAACTTCTTACACAAAGTAAAAACAATATGTGAAAAGTGATTTGGCCTAACTTCTTACACAAAGTAAAAACAATAAGTGAAAAATGATTTGGCCGAACTTATTACACACAATCAAAACAATAAGTGAAAAGTATTTTGGCCAAACTTCTTACACACAGTGAAAACAATAAATAAAGGAGGTTGTGACCAAACTTCTTGCAATAGGTAATGATCAGTTGTGTGAATGGAACAAACTAACATTAATGGAAAAAATGCAAGGTAATGACTACTTAAATGTCTTTAGTTGAGCTCAACTCGCTACATTAAATGAAAAATTCAAAGACCAACTTACTATTATTCCGGCTGGTATTTTGATTCGCTTTCAATTTCACGTAAAAGCATTATAATAAAATCAATGACAAATATAACTCATTGTGATCAGCATCTTCCTGACGAAGGGTCGCATTTATTTGACTTAAATTATGTTTAATGCGATCTGCACCTTTGAGGAGGAAGATGAAGAGGGAAAGGGTGCGTGAACCCCTAACACGAAGTGACGGATTGCAAATTAGCCCCTTAGCTTGGCACCAAAAGCCTTTTGCAAGGCTACATTCGTTTCGCATTGTCCAAGGTTACTGTAAATTTAGGTTCTCATTGACCGCCGTTTACAGTTATCTACTTTTGGCTAAAACATTATATATTTGGTTAATACTCCGTGGAAATTGCATGGTTGTAAATCATCACTATGCGTTTAAAAATCAATCCTTAAATGGTACGACTGGTGACATATCCCCGGTCCGTACCAGACAGCGAAAGCTGCATTTAGTGCTTTAACCATCGACGGTTACCCACAGTATATATTCCGTACATACTACATTATCTAGATAATCGTACATATGTACGGAATATATACAGTGGGTAACCGACGATGTGCTTTAACAGGCTGACAGACCCTTATTAAACACAGACTAAAACATACTATGCAACGTGAAGAAAAGTATAGTAAAGTGAAATTGTATATAACTAATATAGAAGCGTATAAACCACAATGTATTTTATGTACAGCTAAAACTACAAGATACAACATATATGTTACCGTTCAGAAAGAATTATTTGAGGAAATACGAGGTTAAAAAATAAAAACCTGTTTAAAACAACCAAGACTACTTGCTAAGCTATCCATTTTACATGGGAAAGAAATATTTACATAAAGACTACTACGTTCATAAAATTTACTAGTACATACATGTAATATACATGTATATATCGCGAGTTAAAGTTTTTTAAAAAAAAAATATTTATGATTAGCAATAGCCATTTACATCCAGTTAAAACATAGGAATTTAAAGTTTTCACACATACAAACATTACAGCAATGTACATCCTAAACATATACTACAAAGATAAACATATATGATACATTATGATACATGAAGTCTTTTATCTATAACATTAAATCAGGTTTGATTGAAAAAGCTAAATATAATTTAACTGTTTATTTGTTTAGTAAATATTTCAACATACCAACACATAAATCAAAATTATCTTCAACTTTTCATAACAATTCAATTCTACTTATGTAACACAGGGGACAATGGAGTATTAGTAAAACATGTTTCTAAACCTCTTTTTATATTAATAATACCAATATTATCACTGTAGCACAGAGTCTTTGACTATATTGGCCAAACGAACAGAATAATATTATCTAATCATTGAAAGGTGATGTCCCTCTTTTTAATATTTCCTATAGTCAACCTATGCGATTTATTCAAAACTACCATTGTCTCTGTTTGCATTAACTCTGTTTATTAAAAGTCTCCTGCCAGGCAATTGTCCAGGCAATTTGTGTAAAAGCTTTTGTCAAATTTATTTAAGAACTTTGTCAAAGCCGCTCCATACCTCTTTGATAATTTATCCTTTTTAAGATTCCGTTAATTCCTACTTGTAGTCTTTGTGGGCCATTTCAAAAACACACACCTTCAGTCGTCATGTTTGCATAATCTGATATTTACACCTATTAAGAGGGATATATTTTTTTAAAAAAAAATGAGCTTTCATTTGCTCATCCTCAGTAGCCTAGACTATTTACTGTACAAGTTAAGTTGTTATATGTAGTACATACGGAATGAGAACCGTGGGTTACGACACGACGATGTAATTTGATTTACTTGCATTAATACATTACAGTTAGGAAACACTAGATATTAAGTGAGTGCAAGTAATAAACATTGCAAATAAACAAAATTGTCATATACTAAAACAATATCATCTGAATGTCATCAGAAAATTGAACAAAAGACCTCATAAATCACAATACCTCAGTCTAGGGCATCGATTCCATAGCTAAATCATAATCATTAATTAACAAGTAAAACAGCAATGGCGATACAGCACAGCCCTGCTTCAAACCATGTTTCAACCAACTGTACAGAAGTTGATGTGTTTTTTTTTACTTTTACAGAACACATACAATTACTGTAAATGCTCTAAATAGCATTGAAAAGTTAATTGATCTATTGACAAATGGCATTCTGTACAACTACGCCGCTTTTCAGTTTGACGAAACATAGCGTAAAGAAAAGGAACTCCTTACTGAATGTACTGAGGGACCCAATGTTTATGAAACGCTAATACATGTTATTATCAGAACGATCTTTTCAAAATCCTACAGATGAAATATTTCGTCATTTTTCCTGTTCAATTTCAGAAATTTTCATCCAGTGAAAAAGCACAAAATATTTCAAAGAATGTGTGCATCAAAAACGTCAAGTCCATTATTTTGAGTTTTATTTTGACAATATCAAATACAGTTGTCACTCCACTCAGGGACGAATAGTCATCAACGCATTTTTCTCTAGTATTGTGTTGACTTTTGATTTTAATCTTGGTCTGAAAACTGTGAGGAGGAACGATTAGGAACCTCATTATGTTTACCATATGTTTTTAAAAGAAAGTATATGTGTACAAATGTCATTCGTATCTCTTTCAACATCAAGCATGACAACGAGAATACCAATGGGTATAATGTACTAAAATACCCGTGCACAGTTGAGCAATACTCTCTATGTACATATTCACAAGCCATGTACACGCATTCATGAACCACGTGCAGTTCTATAAATAGCGCTGATGAAATCCCCTGGCTCTCTATCCAGTTGAGATCCAGCTTTTTAAACAAAGACAATTGCCCATGGCACTTTTGTAGAACATTCGAGATTTTCCTTAGTTGAGATGCCAAGTCTAATATTACAGCAATTATGATAAGCAGTCCGCAGACGATAATCGCCATTGCCGCAGTGCGCGTAAAAATACTGAGAAACTCTTCGTCAACGCTGCAATCAGTGTCACCTTCCATGTCATATCTATAATTGCCCGAAAGGCCCTCACTAGTAGTATGTCTAACCGATGTGGATTCAGAAGATGATTTTAAAAGTTCTGTTTCAAATTCTATGTCCAGGGCGTCTAGAAGAGATTCAGATTTTGTCAGTGTCTGCTTGCTGAGACCAGCAGTTGAAGTTTCGATACTGGCGGAATGTCCGTTGTTAAATGTGGCATAGTTGGTATTAATCAATGTAACAACAGGTCCTGCTATCCATATACTGAAAATAAGCACTATCCAAATTGCAAGTGACCTTTTACCGATCAGGAGACGCGGACTGTAGAAGGAAAAAAGCACGTGAATACCAAGCAACACAACAGACAATCTTGACGTCACAGAAATTGCAACACTGATCTTAATAATTATACAAGTAACATCTTTCATGAAGTACAAAATAATCAAATTTGCAATGTAACTGCATAAAACAGAAATCAAAATCCATGGCCTTGACCAACGCTTTGGATATTTGTACTCCGTTGACCATCTGATTATCAAACATCCGAGTACGAGTGTAATAAGTACGAAAACACAAGAAATTGTGGAGGCAATCAGTGAAACTTCTGTAAAAGCCTTGTTATCCATTTTAATGTATATTATAGCATTAGCTGTTGTATCTAACAAAGCGTTCACAAACTGAATTATACGTGAATAAACCAGTAAATAAATTCGAAAAGGACAAAGGCCACAAAAACTTATAGATTGTTTCTCACCCGGCTTGCGACTTTTGTCTTCAGATATAATTTTACCTTTGTTTGATGCCAACAACTTATAGACAATTTCATTACACAAACTAGACAACATTAAGTCATCATAGAAAATTAAATAAGTACTGGGCATGTGATTCTCCATTTTATTTCAACATTTCAGATAATTGTGCAATTGTACCAATAAATTTAGTGTTTTTCAAAAAACCGTTTTAGATCAAAGCAACTAAAAAACCAATTAATAATGCTTTTGGTAGTAATACATTTGCTTTATGTTAAACAAGATAATAAAGAGTATCTATTTCTCCTTTGTTTAAATAGTAACACTTATGTAATCTTTATATGACCTATCACTACACATTATCATATTATTGTAGGCTAGAAGTAATTGTATATTACATAATGCTGAAATAAATTGTTGTTGTTGTTGTTGTTGTTGTTGTATTTAACTCCACTGAGATCCAAAAGTGTAAAACATTAATACAAAGTCTTACATAGAACAACTGAAGCACATGAAACAAAGCCTGAAAATATGAAAGAAATATTATAAAGATGTTAAATACATGACAGACCCAAATATAGACAGAATTAATTGACGATCCAAGGATATAAGTGTGGTCTAGTTTAAAAAACATGTAGTAATCATTATAACACTATATAAGAAGAGATTTATCAGAAGAAGAATTACACTGTCTTTTTTTTAAATAAAGTCAGTTTAAATGGGTTCAAACATTCAAAATTTTATACCAGTTCGTGTAAAATGTTGAATTGTGCTTAAGCCGCTGATAGGGGGGTGTTAACGGTAGATTGCAATTATCACTGCTGTCTTTGAACATGCTCAATCAAACCGAGCTTGCAATATTTTCATTTTTTCCGTGTTAGGCTTTCTTTAGGAATTCTGTTTTAAGCGATTCTATTGTTTATCATTAACCATTGTATTCTTGAAAATAAAAACACAATAACCAAACTTATTTTCACATATTTCCTCTACACGCTATAATATTATATTCTGTAAAAGTCAATTATATGTTTCCTGCTTTTGCATACAATCACAATTAATGGTAAACGTTCTGGAAAAAATAATCATTTATGTGCTAATTGCAGTTGACATTTATTATATTATCGTGGCGATATTTATAAAATGGCAAACTTTGATCCCGGCGTGTTATATAACATATTAAATATTGTAAATGATTTGTTTTTCTTTCTTAATTATGACATTGTTTTTTCTTTTACATTTCATATCATGCGTTTTCCAGAAATATATAAATACTTTTGCATACAGATCTAAACAATATTCAAAATATTAGGAAACGAAAAGCTGAATATGGATTCCAATTATTGGCTAACTTCAAAGTTCTGGGTGAAAAACGTTCCAGCAAAAACTCTGTCTAAATGTCCGCATATAATTAAACGTTTGGTGTTCCCTATACTTTTCTGCATGGACGAATTAAAAATTAGTTATTGGATTGCATAACTATATACTAAACAAGACCGCTAAATATTTTACAATTTTTTTATGTGATAATTCAGATTAATTTTTTTTATTTGAAGCCTAGTACGTAATTCAATTTATTGGCCCGCCATAGTTATATACATGTATTTTTGCATATTTAATCGTATATTAGTGTGTACATAAATACGCAAAAAGTGTAAGGAAACATAACAGTTCCATCTAGAAACATATCTTGCAGTGTTTCCTAGATATAAAAAATAAATGCTAATAAATGTTTCGAAATAACCTACGCAAGTGCAAGCAGTTTAACCGCGTTCTAGTATCTTTTCAGATATACTTTTTGTTAGGCATAAAGTGACTTAGTTTTTTCACATTTTTGAAGAACTTATATATATAGTGCTCATATTCCTAATTTCCACGTTTCCTGGGGGAAAAACCTTAGATTTTTACTGCAGATTTTGATCAGTCTAATTTGCTGATAAACATGTAGTTTAGACTTGCCCTATCCAAAATGCTTTTAGCTTTTCAGTATTTATCTTTAAAGTTATTTGTTAAGCGTTAAACGTTTCTCTTATGATTTTTACTTCCATTTATTAAAATGATCAAAGTACATGTAAATAGCATAATAATAATAAAAATAATCATAAAAATAAAGTGTGGAATGAACAGAAAAGACCATGTTACAAGTTCCAAGGTGTTCTAAATGTAATTATGTATCTCACGGCGGTTGGGCTTGGGCCGAAGAATCGATAATGAAATTACATTGCATAGCAAGCAATCATACCACAATTTATTTTTGGTCAATATCAAAGACTCCATCATAACTATGTCATGTACATTTTTTGTATTTTGAGAATGAAATCTTCCTTGAGTTACCGAACACCGAATCGATCCACCTAGTATACATAGTGTTAAAAACATTATGAACATGTTTTAATTTACTTTTGGAAGTGTTCGCTAAGAAATCAAACATGGTTAAAATATCAACATATCTGCCAAAAAATAAGCATGATAAAAGTTGGGTGTCATCGATCAAAATGTTGTTCTCAACGATATCTGTCTAAAGATATATATATGTGGTGTCAGCGATGTCATTGTTTCCATATCTGGACAACTTAGAAAGTTAATATCTTTGCGAGATTATAAACTTTGTGTAAAATTGTTAATGGGGCTGTATATGAGTATCTCAGGCATGTTTTATTATTTATTTATGTGAACATTTTTGTCTTTTGTTTTAATTGTCATCTGAGGCAACGGAATCTTTATGTTTAAGACATAGACTATATTATTTCAAGATTGTGCTTTTGAAATTTATTTCAGTATTTATATTTATTTTTTTTTTCTTCCTATAATTATAGAATTTACTTGTTGGCACCCTCGTGTTAAATTGATTGAAATTGTATGCCCATGATCGTCAACATTTCAGTGTTAAAATGAAATCGGCAAGCGATCCGAGGAGAATTTGGATATTGTGTTTTACCGTCATCACATGATTAACCGACATATTGCATGATATCAAATTGCAAACATTATCTCTCTTTTCGCCTAATGAAAATCTTTCCGTATAATTAAACGAGCATAGTTTTTCGGAACACATCGGCGATTATCCTAGTACAAAAATGCACGAAAACTTGCGATTGGCAAACTAGGACAACAATTCGCGCGAAAATGTTGTGATAGGAGAGAAGATGTTGTTTTTTCTAAATTATGATCAGAGTTGATTGTTCATGTACATATAAGGTAGGGCCACTAGTAGGGCACTGTTGTAGTATCTGTAATTAGTGTAATCGATTACGATTTTGTAGCAGTACAAATTATGTAAATATCAAGTCTAAAAGACTGATTACTGCTGATTCGTTTGTCAAAAGATTTGACTTTACCAAAGGTGCTAGTGGCATTGATTTGACCTAAAATGGGTTTAACTGTGTTATTTATGCAATAAAATATCAATATACTAAAAAAAAAAATTAAAAAAAAAACAAATCACTGATAAGATCTATAATATTATAGACAAGGAATGCAACATCCGAGTACGAAAATTATGGGTATGTCCGTTCTGGTTGTCTACATTTTCGCATGGAATCAATTCAATATATGAGCCCTGTCACGACAAAACCAACATAATGGGTTTGCGACCAGCATCTGCGCAGTCTGATCAGGATCCATGCTGTTCGCTATCAGTTTCTCTACTTGTAATAGGGTTTGTAAGCGAACAGCATGGATGCTGATCGGACTGTGTGGATGCCCAGGCTGGTCTGGAGCCATGCTGGTTGCAAACCCATTATGTTGGTTTTGTTGTGATGCGGCTCATATTTTTCTATTAAAAACTGACTATGGACAGATCCTTATTTACACGTAAGTTACCGCAGTAAAGCCCGAAAGTCAGAAATCACCCAGGTCCGAAAGATGAGACTGCCATGACATGTACATTGTAGCCTGGTACTTACGCTTGAAATGCAACAACAAAAATATCAAATGAGTCAAACACACATGCAAACAACTGGATTGTACATACATTTTAATGGTTTTATGCTCAAAGAATTGAACTTAGTCCTGCGTACCTGTATTTTAAGAAAAATTCTACATGTAGACGATATTTTTAGAAGGTAATTCCTACCGGAAGTATTCTCTGGCTTCCATTACACATACATTGACATAGAGTGGAACCAAGCTTGGTTGCGTGAGAACACTTCTGATTTAGGAATTATCTTATACATGTAAAATTTTTATTAAATTAAATTACCAAAATAAACCATCTCTATTAAAGAAAAAATCTGAAAAAAATTTTTTAAAAGTATGGCTTTAACCTTTAATGATTTATTTCCCCTGTATATTTCTCCTTCAGAAAGCCCAATGTTGTTTTGAAAAAACAACACAGAATCAATGTTAATTATGGATTATCATCATATTTGGATAAAACATATTTTTTTGACAAGACCTTTGGTATAGGTTTGACCTGTCCTTGACCATGACCTTTAAATGACCTTGACCATCAAGGTCAAATTATTGAATCTTTTTAAATAATTTAAATGATTATAATTTTGTTCTTGCAGGAGCCATTTTGTGGACTTATGATAAAGACATTCAACATGTACCAGGTTTTCTGAGAAAAAGAATTTCCAAAATTCTTCTCACAAGCCAAATATTCAGGTCTGTGATAAAATTAAAGCTGGAACCAAATACAGAAATACAGAAGAGTAAAGTATCTGTGAATTAGACAATGATGCTAGAGACAATATTTGTAAAAAACCAGGAAACTTGACAGCAAGGCAAAGAAATTGAAGAAAAAGATCAATCAATACATTGGAATCACCGATTTTGTACAAAAACTTTGAATGTACAAGCAAATCAGATGGAACAGATCTAAATAACAATGTTGATACTAAAGATATTACTGACACAATGATGCAAAGAAAGAAGTGATTGACAACATAAGAGGGACTGTTAAAACAGATAACTTAAAGAGCTTTATTTTTAAGGAAAAAAAAAAAAAAAAAAAAAAAAAACAGTAATGCCCAAAAACAGTAATACTTTGGTTACTGACTGTATATGAAAAAGTAGGAAAGAGAAAGTCTGATGATGTAGGTACCGGAACAGGCAAGGTCGTTAAAAGAGATGTTGAAAGACAAGCTGGAAATGAAGAACTTGCGTCAGATGTAAAGCCTCTAGTTTTTGATGGTAATTAATTATGAAATATTGTAATCCTTAATTAGCCCCAGCTGGGAGTATTTGAATTGATATATACCCATGCAATCAGTGCAATCAGTGCAACCAGTGCAATCAATGCAATCAGTGCAATCAATGCAACCAGTGAATCAACCAACACTGTCATCCTTGCTGTCTGCTTTATATAATAATCTTGGTTTGCAATGTTGACCTGTCTGAGTCTGTATTTATTTCGAAATTACCCTTAAAAGGAACTCCACTGAAGATAAAAGGCATAAAAACATAAAATTCAAAAATCTCACAAATATAAAGTGAAGAAGTTAAATGGGGAAAATCTGCCAAGAATAAAATGAATTCAATTAAAATCAATTTTTCATGGGATTACTAGCCAGATAAGCATGTCGCTCAGCACCCGCCATATTTACTTGTTAATTCTCGACTTTTTGCTTGGCGGGGTGACGGGGCGAAAACACGTATGGCACAAATCAGCCACCATACCAAGGATTTTAATTTTCAAGTAATTATGTCTTGAGAAAATCATAATTGCTTCATATTATTATATGTAAATGTTGAAATATGGTGATATTTTACAGTTTATGTAAAACAAGAGGGAGACAGCACCTTCTATTGTACACTATGTAACAGCCATGTTGCCAGACCAGTGCTACCTTTACACATAAATGGATGGAAACACAATTATCTTAAACAGGTATATATCAAAACTTCACAACTATATGAGTATATTATTTTAAGTTTTCTTTAAAGATATTATTACAACTTGAAATATGGTGGTAGGGGGTATTGTTAGTTTTGTTCTGTATAGGTACTTGATATGGAAACTTTAGAATTTTATTTAGACATATTGCCAGCTATATATATAATTGAAGTATCACTTTATTTTATTTTTACAGTCGAAAATAAAGGAAGAAAAAGAAAATGATGTTGCTGATAAGCCATTAAATACTAATGTACAAGGTACTGATTTTTTGTGTGTTTTTAGCTCGACTATTCAATAAGAATAAGTAGAGTCTGAGCTATCCTAGTCCACCGAGCGTCAGCATAACCTCTTAAAGTTTTTGTAACACCTCATATATTTTCAAAGTCCATTGAAATATGGCTTTGAAACTTACTTGTTAACCATCCTGCCCCCTATCTGTAGACAAGAGGAGGTAATTCTTTCAAGCATTTTTACAGAATAACGCTCATTTTTAGGCTTGGGATTGTAACGTTATTCTTAAAAATAATTAACAAACGAAAACGATCGTATAGTGATTTATTCAATTAATGTCCTTAACATAACTTAAGTAATTCAAGAACAAAACTACAAGAGACTTCACCAAATTAAACCAATGCAATGCTATTTATAAAGACGTTGCACGTGCTTATGACAGCTAAATGACATACCAAAGTAGCCAATCGCTTTTAGTGTAACAAACTTTTGTTACGCCCTATAACCAATCAAAAGCACGTTTACATATTCAAATTTGACTTTTTGTCAAATGTTATATTGATAAACACTCATCACAACAATTAAAATGGTTTATATTTAATTGTCATTTTAACGTCTAATTTGACGAACTGTACTTAAATATTGAAATATCATAATCGAAGTAAACAACATCTGTCAGCTGGTAGGCAAATAAGACGGTTTTGTTTCACTGCCAGTAATGTATATGTAGTTAAACTTTCAAATTTTATGAGACAACATTCCAAAGAAATGTATATAATATCGACATATAATTGAGTAATGAAGTTTGCAAATAAAACTAATTAAAAGTTGATAATCAAATAAATCAAATAAGATAATCAAAACATGTATAATTAATTCACTATAAGTGCCACTATGTTACACACCTCCCCCAATAAAAGAAATTAACTCAATTTTAATTGAGTAATTTATGAACAATTTAGAATGCTAGTAACAAAGTTCACTTACTAAATAAACAATAAAAGCATAACGAATTCACAAAATATTAAAAGAAATGCACTTCAACTTTTTTTTAAAAAGTCCTATATTAAAAATAAATATAATAAAATATTCAAATTTAATCAATGTCTTAAAAACTGCACACAAGAATTATTTTTAATGTTCTTCGTTAAACTGGATTCAATTGGTTTGCCACCGTCGATGGTGTTGAATGGTTCCGTCATCTAATGTTTGTTGTTGTTGTTGTTATTGCTATCTGCAATGTTAATTAGGGTTCCGTCAACGATTTTCGGTTTATCATTTTTGTAATATGTTAGCATAATGTCTACATCCATAGGTTTTGTCAAACATCGATTGATATGAACTATTTCATTTGATTCGAAATTTTCATCCTCGTCTTCCGTATTTACATCATTTTATTCGGATCAGGCATTTACAACTAGCTTTATCAAGTCGTGATAATTATCCATATTCAAATTCTGAAAATAAATCCATTTATGTTTTATATGTGTACATTAACTTATTTTTCTTTACGAATAATTCACGTGCACTATATAAAGTCTTAATAAAACCTAACAAATTCTTCACTATCCATGTGGGATTCCTTTGAGAGTTAACCCTGGATAGACTTTTCTTATTAATTAAAAGTATCTTCACTACTCATCTGGGATCCCTTTGAGAGTACACCCCGAGTAGACTTTTCAACTTAAAATGAATATATTTACAAATGATTACACGTGCACAACAAAAAGTGTTTGTTTTCTTTTAATAACAAAATCCTTTCGTCTTCAACGAAAATGACGAAGCCACTTTATTCGCTTCTTCTCGGTCAGGTGTGGAAGATAATTGCCTTCCAGAATCGATAACAACGTCCTCATCTTTGTTTGATGACACCGACCCTACGACCTCAGGAAGGTCTAAACCAGCATTTGCCCCCTCACAACATTTTCGCTTATCTTTAAAGCAAAGGTATGGCTAATCATTGTAATGAACAAAATGCTTTTTAAATCCATGTTGCAACGTAAAGTTACAAAAATCCTTTAGTATGGGTGCTGTCAAAGTTTTTCTCCAACCGAGGTTTGATCCTGCGAACGGCACCAAAATATTTAAAGTTAATGTAACGTTATTCTTGAAATAATTACAAAACGAAAACGATCGTATAGTGATTTATTTAATTAATGTCCTTAACATAACTTAAGTAATTGAAGAACAAAACTACAAGAGACTCCACCAAATTAAACCAATGCAATGCTATTTATAAAGACGTTGCACGTGCTTATGACAGCTAAATGACATACCAAAGTAGCCAATCGCTTTTAGTGTAACAAACTTTTGTTACGCCCTATAACCAATCAAAAGCACGTTTACATATTCAAATTTGACTTTTTGTCAAATGTTATATTGATAAACACTCATCACAACAATTAAAATGGTTTATATTTAATTGTCATTTTAACGTCTAATTTGACGAACTGTACTTAAATATTGAAATATCATAATCGAAGTAAACAACATCTGTCAGCTGGTAGGCAAATAACACGGTTTTGTTTCACTGCCAGTAATGTATATGTAGTTAACCTTTCAAATTTTATGAGACAACATTCCAAAGAAATGTATATAATATAGACATATAATTGAGTAATGAAGTTTGCAAATAAAACTAATTAAAAGTTGATAATCAAATAAATCAAATAAGATAATCAAAACATGTATAATTAATTAACTATAAGTGCCACTATGTTACAGGATTTACATTAAAGTTTGCATACCACCTAAGATATTTTCATATTCCATTGACATCTGGCTTTGAAACAAGTTGGATTTTATACTCTTCTTTGGGAGCATAATATGACTCTCTCCAAACATGGATTTAAAGAAAAATTAAGCCCTTTTGTTATCTTAGAAAATTTTATCATTTTTCACTAAGAATAGTTGAGCATGCTGTCCTACCTGAAGCTCTTGCTTTTGTCATATTTCTTTTGTAAAGAAATTTAGTACATAAAACAAGTAGATAAGTGTAATCACATTATGACGTTTGTTTATTACATAACTTGCATTATTAATATGATAGTTATTTTTAAAATGTGTGTGATTTTTAATTTATTAGCTGATCAAAGCTATTGTCGGCTCCTTTTTTCACTGAAAACAAGTATTTGGCTTGTCAATAATCATGAATGTTATCAAAAATTTTACATATTTTTAGGAGATATCAAAGAAGAAACTAAGTTGGTTATCAACAAACCTATTCAGACAAAAGTTTCAGCACAGAGAGAAAACACAAATAAGAACATCAGAAAATACTCTAGGGTAAGTTTAAAGATTTACAAATGGTGTGCTGTTACTCATAAATAAAACAAACTTAGAATTTTGGAGTATTTAAGGCATATTAGTGGAATAGTTCTTGCTAGCATTGATTTTTAGCTCGACTTTTCTATGAAAAGGGGAGCTATCCTACTCGCCCCGGCGTCGGCGTTGGCGTCACACCTTGGTTAAGTTTTTCGTACCACCCCACTTTATTTCAGAAGTATTACAAGTATGGCTTTGAAACTTACCATACTTGTTCACCATCATAACCTCCATCTACAGACAAGAGTACATAACTCTGTCAAGGTTTTTGACAGAATTATGGCCCTTTTTTGACTTAGAAAGTGTATTGAGCTTGGTTAAGTTTTTTGTACCACCTCACTTTATTTCAAAACCATTGGAGGTATTGCTTTGAAACTGACCATACTTGTTTACCCATCACGACCTTCATCAACAGACAAGAGGACATAACTCTGTCAAGGTTTTTGACAGAATTATGCCCCTTTTTGACTTAGAAAATACATTGAATATGGGTAAAATCCACTTATTGCCTTAACCCTTTGAGATATATTGCTTTGAAACTTTTAATGCTATTTCACATCATTACCCATCTGTACGCAAGAGAAGGTAACTCTGTCAAGGATTTGTTTTAAAAATTAAGGCCTTTTATCGACTTAGAATCTTGGTTAAGTTTTTAGTACCAGTCCACTTTTTGACTGAACTGTTTGAGATATTAATTTGAAAGTTGGAATACTTGTTTACAATCATGATTCCCAAACATGTCCAGGAGAAGGTAATTCTGTCAAAGATTTTATTTGAATTATGGCCCTTAACTGTCAATGTTTTGTATTATAGGCAAGCACTAAAAAACTTAAAAAATCTAAAAAAATTCATTCCTATCCACTTGTTCACTTTACCATAAATTATGTCATATAAACATTGCTGTAATATTCAAGGGTATCAAACAACTAGTTCACTTTAAAAATACAGAGATTCTTGTATTGCCTTTTACTGCAAAAACTTTTTTTATTGGCAAGCAATAAAAAAGTCGAGCGCGCTGTCTTACGGACAGCTCTTGTTATTATAGGCATAAAAGAATTTTTGGAGGAACATACAGTTTACTCTTTGTAACTCTAATTTCAATGGACTAGGCATTTTACTTCAAGAGAAATGGAATTTGAGTAACGTAGGTCTGTTGCCATTACGTTCACGTTTCATACATGTATATACAAAAGTCATGTGCCTGATTGATTGTCGAAAGTGGTAGTTTTGTTATTGTTGATAAAGGAAAATCATTAATAAACAGAAAGATATTTAAAATTTAATACATGTATATTAATAGTGAAACATAAACGCAAACATTCGTAGCAATGGTATACAGTAAACACTGCTTATAACTAACTCATTGGGACATTCAAAATCTGTTCCAATATATCCAGAGTTCCTTGTAAGCATATAGCGAATTTGCTCCTTGTATCAGGAGTTTTTTATAGCGAACAAATTTACATATAACAAACTGATTGTTTACCATCGTCCGCCATTTTGAAGAGCATTTGATTAAAAAAAATAGTCATTTATTTCTTTTTTAGCTTGACTTTTTTTTTTTTTTTTTGAAAAAAAAAGTTGAGGTATTGTCAATTGTTATAGTCGCGGCGGCGTTGCTGTCCGCAAACTTGTACCTGGATCATAACTTTTTTATTTCTTGGTGTATTGTTTTCATACTTGGCCACAACAACCCTCGCGACAAGACCTTTCAGTAGATCACACTAACCTTGACCTTCATCCATAAATGACCTTGACCTTTGAGGTTAAAAGTTCAAATTTTGCTTGTTCATGGTGTTATTGGCAGTAACTTTATTATTATGCCCCCACAGAGTGGGAGCATATAGCGTTGCACTTGTCCGTCCGAGTGTCCGTCACGCCGTACGTCTGTCCGTCCGTCCGTCCGTCTGTCCGTACGTCCCGAAATCTTGTGAACGCAACTCCTCTTAAACCGGAAGGCAGATTTTGCTTAAACTTCCAGGGATGAACAACCTTAATGTGTAGATGGTAGTAAAGGTAGGAATTTTTGCTGCGACCAAATTTAACAGAATTATGGCCCTTTGTTGATTTTTTCACTATATACTATGTAGAAATCTTGTGAACGCAACTCATCTTAAACCGGATGGCAGATTTTGCTTAAACTTCCAGGTATGAATAACCTTAATGTGTAGATGGTAGTAAAGGAAGGAATTTTTGCTGCGACCAAATTTAACAGAATTATGGCCCTTTGTTGATTTTTTCACTATATACTATGTAGAAATTTTGTGAACGCAACTCCTCTTAAACCGGATGGCAGATTTTGCTTAAACTTCCAGGGATGAACAACCTTAATGTGTAGATGGTAGTAAAGGAAGGAATTTTTGCTGCGACCAAATTTAACAGAATTATGGCCCTTTGTTGATTTTTTCACTATATACTATGTAGAAATTTTGTGAACGCAACTCATCGTAAACCGGATGGCAGATTTTGCTTAAACTTCCAGGGATGAACAACCTTAATGTGTAGATGGTAGTAAAGGAAGGAATTTTTTACTGCGACCAAATTTAACAGAATTATGGCCCTTTGTTGATTTTTTCACTATATACTATGTAGAAATTTTGTGAACGCAACTCCTCTTAAACCGGATGGCAGATTTTGCTTAAACTTCCAGGGATGAACAACCTTAATGTGTAGATGGTAGTAAAGGAAAGAATTTTTGCTGCGACCAAATTTAACAGAATTATGGCCCTTTGTTGATTTTGGTTTTTCAATTTGTGGCACATGTAGTCCAAAAAATATTTGACCTAGAGTCATAAGATTGACAGAACAGTGGCGTGTGGGGGCATCCGTGTCCTATGGACACATTTCCAGTTTTTGAATGGATTGTCTTCAAACTTGAACATAATAATCTTCAAGGATAACCCTTAAAAATAACTTGACAGACCTTGACCTTCACTCATAAATGACCTTGACTTTGAAGGTTAAATTATTGAAATTTTCATGTTTTTTTTTACGCTCGGGTTTTACGGGGTGACTTAGCTCCAGAGACTGGTTTGACAATAGGTTTAATTTAGGGTTTAAGATGCGAGGCCTTTAGGCTAGCGTTCTGGAAAAGATGAAAAAGACAGTTTTAAACAGTTGTTCACGTTTAATGTCTGAAGTCCAAAGTAAGAATGTATATACAGTTACAAATATAAAATACAATTTGAAATACATAATAGTTTTTAACATAATAAAAACATATCACAACATATGTACTTATATTTGCAGACTGCAATAAATGTATTTTAATTATAATGGGGAAAATAATAAGTTTTCATTTAATAAAATATAATAACTCGCATTAGCTAGTGAAAGGTACAATGTCATTACTTTAACTAAACAACTTTGTATATTAGTATAAATTGCAAGTTGCAAACTTATATAAAAGTGTTTATTAATGTTATTGTCCTTTTGTTACATTGTAAAAAAATGAAACAGTGATCTTTACACTATTGTTGTAATAATTCACTTAATATTTAAATCTTACTCTATTTTAGAAAAATCAACTTAACACATTTAACAAGAAAACATATTTACACAAAGTTTTTCAACTTTTGTTATTAAGTCTCTTTCCATAGATAAAAGGTTATCAAGACAGAATTTACAAACTGCCAGAACTTCATGTAATTATAAGATAATTTAATAGTATGGTAAGCAATGGTTTCATTTATGATCCTTTGCCAATTTCATTAAATATGAAAACATTTGAGAATGCATACTAATGAAAAATACAATATAATCATTTCAAAAGTAGAAATTAAAATATAACACAGTTGCAAAAATTCAGATGATAAAAACTACATAATGATTTTATAAACAAAGTACAAATATTTAGAAAATTAAGTATCATATTTAGTTTAATTATTCTAAATTGTACATTAGAAAATACAAAAATATCACATACCTGGAAAAGATGAAAAAGACAGTTTTAAACAGTTGTTCACTTTTAATGTCTGAAGTCCAAAGTAAGAATGACTTCAGATCTGTCTTTTGGCATAAAAATCAGCTTTCTTTTCCCAGGAAGGATTATTGCAGTACAAACACAGGAACTAGGGTTTCATACCTATCTTTGTGTTATAATCAATTAAGGGTCTGGTATTTTGCTTAAGGGATTGACACTGCTTACTAAGATATGCCATTCTGGTAAGAGCTGATAAAACTACATTGTTAAGGATTTGGCTGTTTTAACACTTATAGAATTTAAGCCAGCACATACATTTTAGACAATAATAACCCAAGCTGAATTGATGGCTTCTTTTACTAAGTTTTTATAGTAAAGTAAATTTGGCAAGTTTGAAAAATTAAGTACCAAATATTTTTACAATTAATGAAATGGAAATTATAAAACTGAAAAATATTTAAAGCAAAAGAATTTAAGAAAAATAGTAATATTCAAATTACCAAAATAAAATATATAGATATTTTGGCTATTATTGGCTGTAACTTTGTTATTTTTGAATGGATTGTCTTCAAACTTGAACATAATAATCTTCAAGGATAACCCTTAAAAATAAGCCAACAGACCTTGACCTTCACTCATTAATGACCTTGACTTTGAAGGTCAAATTATTGAAATTTTCATGTTTTTGGCTATCATTGGCTGTAACTTTGTTATTTTTGAATGGATTGTCTTCAAACTTGAACATAATAATCTTCAAAGATAACCCTTAAAAATAACCCGACAGACCTTGACCATCACTCATGAATGACCTTGACTTTGTTTTGGCTGTAACTTTGCTATCATTGAAGGGATCAACTTCATATTATAACAGAACATACTTAAGGACAAGACCTTGTTGTTTATCGTGACTTCACCACGTGACTTCACCACGTGACACCACCACGTGACTCCACCACGTTACTCCACCACGTTACTCCACCACGTGACTCCACCACGTGACTCTTCCATGTGACTCCACCACGTGACTCCACCACGTGTCTCCACCACGTGACTCCAACACGTGACTCCGTCACGTGTATCTATTTATAGAATTTTCTATTTATAGAATTTTGTGTTTCTATTTAAAGAATTTCCTATTTATAGAATTGCGTGTCTCTATTTATATATATATAAATTAAGTATTTTTATATATAAAAAATATATAGACAAAACTAATGTGACAAGACAGAATGATTAATTTTATAAAAAGAAAACGTTAAGATTTTGTTCAAACATTTCTTTGTCAAACTTTGCTTTTAGAGAAAGTAAAAAGTCGAGCGTTGCCCCCTCCCGGTGGTGGCTCTTGTTAGACATAATACCAGAGAGCGTACTTTTTGGGAATTTGAAAATCCTTTGCTACTTCAGTTTCAGTTTTATTCCCTTTCTCAATTTCTCATAAAATACATTTTGTTTCTAAACTCAGTGCTTTTTGTTTTCTTTCCATGATTAAGAATAAACAAGATTTTCGATTTTTCCTTCCTTTTATAATGAATATCTTTTATTACATTTTAAGGGTGACTTTTACTTATGAAAGATATAGATTTCTTTTCATTTCAATCAAGCGAACTTTGTAGTTTTCAATGGATTATGCTTGCAAGCATGCGTGATTGTGTTGAAAACCGATCATAAATGATCATAATTATTTTATTTATTTTCATAGATGTATTGAAGTACATACAACAATAAACGGTACATTCGGCCGAGTTTTAATCCGTGCCGATGAAAACGAAATCTGAAAACACGGGATCTATTTAAGGATAGCCGATATTTTGGAGTTGGTTATAAATTGTTATTTTCTGTACTTTTAACTAAATTGGGACTAAGAAATGAGGTCCTTATAAGCGATAATTCCTTATAGCCGTGTTAGCTATAACCGTATACTTTTATATTAAATAAAGAAGGGAAAAATTCGGGCCAAAATAAATTGTTCCTAATAACCGGAAGTTCGCAATATATAACCGTGTTCACTTTAAGTGAAGTTTACTGTAAATGCAAATCAAGTTGGTCAGTATTTATCAGTTATAATATTAAGCAAACACTCATGACAGTTAATTACTATAGAAGCACAATGACACATTTATTTAAACAACAATATGTCTAATGCCTTGGAGAATGTGAATTAATCATCGGACAAAAATTAAAGTAGCAAATATTGTGGACCAGAAGTACATGTTGATTTAGTTATCTAACTGTTAAAACCAATTAAGTTCTCATACCTATCAAAGTCACTCTAACAACGTGATAATAATACCGGCAATTAAAATTAAGTACGAAACATGAACCAGAGTGACAACATCTAACCCTGATGTCACCGACCTTTGATCAGTTGTCTGTTTTTCGCACTGTGACTAATAGAAATAAAAATATATTAGACTAATTAAGTAACGGGACCAAAACCTCCTTTCCACTAAACAGGAGTCTCAGTAAGTCAAAATTTGACCTAAGCGGAGATAAAGAAGGAAATTTGATGGGACTTTCTAAATTGTTCAACTAACACTGAATTTTGAGTAAGCAACTTTGAATTATTGAGAGTTGACTGTATTTGAAACATTTATGCCCATGTTTAACGTTTTTGCCACTGCTTGGCAAACAAACAGGAGTTGAAGACACAATATTTAACCTCACTTAAGTGCAGTAATGGGTAAAGTCAATGTTTGTAAATAGGAGTTAACTACAAATGAGCCTATCACGACAAAACCAGCATCCGCGCAGTCTGATCTGGATCCATGCTGTTTGCTATCAGTTTCTCCACTTGTAAAAGGGTTGGTAAGCTAACAGCATTGATCCTGATCAGACTGCGCGGATGCGCAGGCTGGTCTGGATCCATGCTGGTTGCAAACCCATTAAGTTGGTTTTGTCGTGACACGGCTCAAATGTTTTCACTAGAAAAAAATTCAGACAAGGGGTCCATGGACCCCTAAATGTTTGAAATTTTGAGAGTTCATTGTAGCTTTGTATGGTCCCCATATCCAACTGTAATCAATGAAACTTGTCATAAATTGTTCTTTTTTTCAGTTCTAAGCTTTTATTTTCAGAGATAACAGTCAATAAATTAAAATTCATGTAGAACTTGTCAACAGGTATAACACAGATCAAATTTTATTCATTCAAAAGATAAATTACCGTTCAAAATGGTTTGGGAGTTACAGGGGCCCTTTGGATGGACCCCTGTTGATAAATGACAGTCAAGGACTCAGAAAACCTGCATAAGGGAAAAACCCTGAGTAAACCCATTATTGCACCCATGTCATGACAAAACCAACATAATGAGTTTGCATCCGTGCAGTCTGATCAGGATCCATGCTGTTCGCTATCAGTTTCTCTACTTGTAATAGAGTTGGTAAGCGAACAGCATGGATCCTGCCTGATCAGACTGCGCGGATGCGCAGGCTGGTCTGGATCCATGCTGATCGCAAACACACTATGTTGGTTTTGTCATGACACGGCTCAAATGTATATCATTCTTGCTTAACTAACATCCTAGAAGGTCAAGTTAAAGAAAAATAAGTTTAAGAAATATTCCTTTTATTTCAGTATGTACTTCTCCAGTTGAGGGATAACAGGGCATCAAAATGTATACCTCCTGGATTAAATAAAGAATATTTGTAAGTATAAATTTGTTTGCTTTCTTTGCGATAATAATGTTCATTGTTTTTAGCTCACATGAGCAGTGGTAATGATAATCATTTCTGATCATGTATGTGTTCAACACTTAGTCTAACAGTCACTTTTAGCTAAATTTTTTTGCATTAAAATGTTGAGCTTCTGTAATGGTGTCATTCCGTTACCTTTGTTATATTTGTTGTAAGGGGGGTATACTGGAATCAGGTTGTCCGTCCGTCCGTCCGGCTGTCCGGCCGTCCGTCGGTTTTTTCTTGTACGCCCAATAACTTAAGATTCCTTTGATCCACAGTCTTCATATTTGGCATGGAGGTTAGTACAGATTAGTAGATGACCCCTATTGATTATGAGGTCACCAGGTCAAAGGTCAAGGTCACAGGGGCCTTGACTTCAAAAAGCTTGTCCGCCCAATAACTTAAGATTCCTATGACCCACAGTCTTCATATTTGGCATGGAGGTTAGTCGTGATTAGTAGATGACCCCTATCGATTTTGAGGTCACCGGGTCAAAGATCAAGGTCACAGGGGCCTTGACTTTAAAAAGCTTGTCCGCCCAATAACTTAAGATTCCTATGACCCACAGTCTTCATATTTGGCATGGAGGTTAGGCGTGATAAGTAGGTGACCCCTATCAATTTTGAGGTCACGGGGTCAAAAGTCAAGGACACAGGGGCCTTGACTTCAAAAAGCTTGTCCGCCCAATAACTTAAGATTCCTTTGACCCACAGTCTTCATATTTTGCATTTAGGTTAATCGTGATTAGTAGATGACCCCTATCGATTTTGAGGTCACCAGGCCAAAGGTCAAGGCCACAGGGGCCTTGACTTCAAAAACCTTGTCCGCCCAATAACTTAAGATTCCTTTGACCAACAGTCTTCATATTTGGCATGGAGGTTAGTCATGATAAGTAGATGACCCCTAAGTAACCTCAGATTTGGCAGGGAGGTTGTCCTTGAGTTCTAAATGGCCACTGTTGATTCTGACAAAGTGGTATGCGGGGGTTTCACGCCATGATAGTGGCAGTTCAAGTTGCTTCTGTTGCCCAGGCCTCAACATTAGTGGTGGTCCGTTGGTCCGAGACCACTTGATTTAGCAAGAACCACCTAATTTAAAAGCCACTGGTCCGTCTGACCACTTGAATTTTTTGGTTGGTGAATTATTATTTTCGTATTCCCTAACTTGTGTTGAGGGAGAAGTCACTTCAATATAAAAGTTAACATAAATACGAGCCCTGTCATGTATGATTTTAAATGAGATAAAAAAAACGCAAATAACTTATGATAGAATACCTACTGATTTGCTCACCTTAATTTCTAATAGATGAAAAATATATATCTAAAAATATCTGTTTTCTTTAAAGGTTAATAATACATCTATGTCTTCACTTTTAAGCATTTTTTTTTCTAAATCTGCAGTAAAAAGAACAAGGAAAAATAATAATAAATTGTAATTGACCACCTGACTTCCAGAAGAACCACCTAAATTTCAAATCTAGTGGTCCGGATTACCACCTGCTAAAAAAATAAGTGTCGAGGCCTGATTGCAATTGACAAACTTTAACATTTTTTTTTTATAATTTTTAATTTCTACAAGAATTGTCTACATGTACAGACACAACAGTCATTTGGACAAGACCTTTAAGTAGACTTGAATAATTTCACCAAAAATGACCTTGACCTTGAAGATCAAATTTTGGAATTTTGCTTGATTTTGGCTTTAACTGGCTATAACTTTGTTATTAGCTCACCAGAGCTCAGGGTGAGCTATTAGTATCAAATGGAGAAACTCCGGCTTCCGTTGTCCGTCGTCATGCATCAACAATCAGCTTCTTCTCTGAAACTGCTGGGTAGATTTACTTCAAATTTGGTGTGTAGCATCCTTGTGACAGTCACACTTGAATTTGCTCATGTCATTTCCATTGGCCCCTTTTAGGGGTCAACAGTGCTAAAAATAGAAAAACCTTTTAACATCTTCTACTACAGAACTAATTGATGGATGATCACCAAACTTTGTCTGTAGCATTCTTGGGTAGTCTTTTATCAAATTTGCTCATATTAATTTGATTGGCCCCTTTTAGGGGTCGCTAGGGCTAAAAATAGAAAAAAGTTTAGACATCTTCTACAGAACTAATGGATGGATGATCACCAAACTTTGTCTGTATCATTCTTGGGTATTCTTTTATCAAGTTCGCTCAAATTAATTTGATTGGCCCCTTTTAGGGGATGCTAAAGCTAAAAATAGAAATACCTTTAAACATCTATATCTAGAGAACTAATTGATTGATGATCACCAAACCTTGTCTGTAGCATTCTTGGGTAGTCTTTAATCACATTTGCTCATATTTATTTGATTGGCCCCTTTTAGGGTTCTCTATGGCTAAAAAAAGAAATACTTTTAAATGTCTGCTTCTACAGAACTAATTGATAGATGATCACCAAACTTTGTCTGTAGCATTCTTGGGTAGTCTTTAATCAAGTTTGCTCATATTAATTTGATTGGCCCCTTAATTAGGGGTGTCTAGGGCTAAAAATAGATAAACATTTAAACGTCTTCTTCTATAGAACTAATTGATGAAGGATCACCAAATTTTGTCTGTAGCAGTCTTGGGTAGTCTTTTATCAAGTTTGGTCATATTAATTTGAATGGCCCCTTTAAGGGGCCACTAAAGCTAAAAATAGAAATACCTCTAAACGTCTATTTCTACAGAAGTAATTGATGGATGATCTGTAGCATTCTTAGGTACTCCTTTATCAAGTTTGCTCACATTAATTTGATCTTTTAGGGGCCACTAAAGCCAAAAACAGAAAAACCTTTGAACATCATTTCTTACTGAAATAATTGATACTTTTCCTTGTCCCGAGCATAACTTGTAAAGAACTGGTTGGAATTCAAAACAGCTTCATACAATGGTCAAGCACAATAAGAGGAAGTGCAGTGCACAAAAACAATAACACCATTTGACAAATAACAGTTATTGTCCTTTGTCAGGTGTATAACTTAAAAACTAATTCAGAGTAATTATAGAGTTATTGCCCTTTGTTACTTTTCCATTGCTTTTTTCTTGTCCATAGCATAACTTGAAAACTACTAGTTGGAATTCAATACAATTTCATACAATGGTCAAGTATATTGAGAGAAAGTGCAGTGCACAGAAACCATAACTCTCTCTTGACCCATTTAAGAGTTTTTGCCCTTTGTTACTTTTTAGCTCACCTGTCACAAAGTGACAGGGTGAGCTTTTGTGATTGCTTTTGGTCCGGCGTCTGTCTGGCGTCTGTCCGTAAACTTTTACTTTAAACGACATCTTCTTATAAACTGATAAACCAATTTCATCCAAACTTCACAGGAATGTTCCTTTGGTAGTCAACTTTAAAAATTGTTCAAAGAATTTAATTCCAAGCATGAAACATCTTCTAGTGGGTGTCTACCAATTTTGTTCAAATAAAAGCCCTGGGGTCAAAATTGGCCCCACCCAGAGGGGGGTCATTGTTTTTCATTTTATGTATAAAGTATAAACATAAAAAAATCTTCTTTTAAAAAATCCAAAGAGCTAGAGTTTAGATTATAATTCAGCATGAAATATCTTCCAGTGAGTGTCTACTAAGTTTGTTCAAATAAAAGCCCTGGGGACAAAATTGGCCCTGCCCAGGGGGGGGGGGGGTTCATTGTTTTTTCCCTATATGTGTATAGTAAAAACTTAAAAAATCTCCTTAGAGCTAGAGCTTAAATATTTATCATGAAACATCTTCAAATGGGTGTCTACCAAGTTTGTTCAAATAAAAGCCCTTGGGTTAAAATTGGCCCTGCTCCGGGGGCCTATAGGCAGGTGAGCCATTTCAGGGCCATCATGGCCCTCTTGTTATTGTCCTCTGCATAACTTGAAAATTAATGGATGGAATTCAAAGAAACTTCATACAATGGTCAAGGGCAGTAAGATAAAGTACAGTGCACAAAAACCATAACTCTATTTGGACTAATTACAGTTATTGCCCTTTGTTACTTTGTTTGTCCAGTGCATAACTTGAAAACTAGTTGTTGGAATTCAATACAACTTCATACAATGGTCAAGAACAGTGAGAGGAAGTACAATAACCATAACTCCATATTCAGTATTTGTAGGGTTATTGCCCTTTGTCAAATGCATAACTTAAAAACTAATGTTTAGAATTCAATGCAACTTCATACAATGGTCAAGAGCAGTGAGAGGAAGTGTAGTGATCAAGAAGCGTAACTCTTTTTGGACTTAATACAGAGTAATTCAATGAAACTTCATCAATGGTCAACCATATGAAAGGAAATGCAACATACAAGAACTACAACTATCTTTAATTGCCCACAACCAACACTCTATTTCAGTTCTTTTGCAAGGTATTCTGTTACTAGTAACTTCCTCATTTCCGAAGCAGTCTTGTGGGGGTATTAATCACATTTAGTGACAGTTCTAGTTTAAATTAATAATAATGTCTTGTTGAACTTCTTTTCACAAACAGCAATGGCAATAGTTTAGGTTTTTGACATCACCTTGCAAAATTTATTTAAATTCTACCCATTTGGTATCAATAGATAATGAGTCGGTGTTTCAACAACAAAAGATTATTTGCATGTTATAAAAAAATTGAGAAAACATTCATTTTTTTCCTAGACTTTTATCTTATAGTAGAGAATTTATTTACAACTTCATTTGTAAGTAATGGCAAAATGTCATCAACTTAAGCATGCGGTACATTTATAAAATGCACCAGGATGGCTTCATTAAAAATCACCCACCTTGTCTTTCAAAGGTGTGTTGAAGGTGAGATTTTCTAGCACTAGTGCAAACACTAGAAAGTCCAGTCTAATAAGAAAATAATGTATTGATATTATGATTTGTAGTACATTCATTTATTTTCAGTGTCGATGGAGTTTGGAGTGCGACTGAATATAAAAACAGAACTTCTTCAAAAACAAGACTGACAATTGCTAACACTTCCCCAAAACCTAACCAAGCAAATGAAGAGCCTGATTTTAATGTTGATAAAAATAGAAAAAGACCAGCCGAACCTTGTAATGGTTCTTCTCAGGAAGACAGCTTGCAATGTAAGTATGGTGAGCAGTGGCCTAGTGGTTAAGGTGTCTGCCTCTTAACTCAGAATATTTGGGCTTGAGCCCTACCTTGGAACGGGTCATGTTACCTTTAACTATTAGATGACCCCTGTTGATTTTGGGGTCACTAGGTCAAAGGTCAAGGTCCCAGGGGCCTTAAGTGTCAGAATGGTTTCCGCTGATTATCTTGAGAGCTTTTTATCACAGTCTTCATATTTCACATACTGATTGGACATAACTAGTAGATGACCCCTATATTTGGTTCAAAGGTCAAGGTCACAGGGGCCTTAAATGTCAGAGTGGTTTCCGCTTATTATCTTGAAAACTTTCACAAAGTCTTGATATTTCACATATTGATTAGTCGACCACATTATTTTTGCTGATTATCTTAAAATCTATTTGTCACAAAGTCTTCATATTTCACATACTGATTGGTCATTATAAGCTAGTAGATGACCCCTAATATGAATCATGAGCTAGAAATTAGGGGGCATATGTGTTGCTAGACATTTCTTGTTTTTAGTTGCTTTTTACTCAACAACACCACATGATGGCTTGTATTTTCATATTTTTTTATAAAATAATCTCAAATCAAAGCTATGTTTCACTTATTACAAACATTTTTGGTTTTTGCTCAGCATGGAATAAATTGTTCATATGTTGTTTTCAACTTGACTATGCATCACCCTCAAACTTTTGTTCAGTTTTTGAATCTCCTTATAACTATGGAAGGGATTAGGTTGATACTTTAAATAGTTGTTCTCTGTGATTATCCTATGACTTGTGAGTTACCTATTTCCAGAGTTATACCCCTTTTCTTACTGTCAATCACTGAGATTAAACAAGAATAGTTGAATGCTCTTTCTGATGGACAGCTCTTGTTACATGAAAGAATACATACTTGTTTTAAAGACTTTTTTGAACCTCAGATTTTTGTGATTTGTTAGGGAAGCGAAGAAGATATGATGAAGAAGAAAGCAGTACCAGTCAACAAAGAAAGAGTTACTATGAAGGTATGTGTACATGTTGTATGAGAAACTTCTGTAACTGAATGGGTAAAAAAATTTTCTTTGGGCTTTGTGACCTTAACAACGCCATTGTGCATAAAAGAAAAGGAAACAATGCATGTGATACTGGAAATTTCTTTGGTATAAGGCACTTTTTATGCCCCTGATGGGCGGTATATAGAAAAGTGCACTGTCAGTCTGGTAATCTTGTCGGCACTTCATCTCCAAAACCGCACGGGGGGGGGGGGGGGGGGCTAAATTCAGTGAAACTTCACAGGAGTGATAAGTACCATCCCATTTTATGCCATATGGCCAACATGTTCCACTCCGCTCTGCATTAAATAGCCGCCAGAGCTAGAAAAAATCTTATCTACACTTCATCTCCAAAACCCCTGGGGGGATTTCAGTGAACCTTCACAGGAGTGATCAGTATCATCTCTAGTTGTGCATATCACCGACATGTTTTTCTCTGTTACACAAAATGGTCGCCAGAGCTATAAATAGAAAAATCTTTTTTTTCTGGCTTTCATAGGTTAAACTGCTGGTCGGATTTCAATGAAACTTCACAAAAGTGATCAGTACCATCCCTAGTTGTTCATATCCCTGGCAGGTTCTGCTCCACTGCACAAAATGTCTGCCAGAGCTATGAATAATAACAAATTGTTTTAGTAAAATTTGTTTAGACTTTTTCTCCTACACTTCTAATAGAATAAATGAAATTTTAGGAATGGTATTATCAAAGGCGGTCAGGTGTGTATTACTGGTATTTTGGTATATATTGTGGATTTTATGTCAAAGCTTCCTTTTGGGGGCATATTAAGTCACTTTTCAGTGACATCTCTTGGTAAGCATATTTTTAAAATTTCGAGGGAGCATATAGTCGTCGGGTTGTCCGTCCGTCCGTCCGTACAACTTCGTGTCCGGCCCATAACTTTGTTATTTGAAGTCGGATATTAAAACTATATCACAGAAATGATCACCATATTGAGACGATGTGTCGCGCGCAACATTTGGTTCGCTACCTTGAAGGTCAAGGTCACAGCATGACCTTGCAGCAAAATCGTGTCCGGTCCATAACTTCATTATTTGAAGTCGGATTTTAAAAATATTTCACAGATATGATCACCATATTGAGACGATGTGTCGCGCACAACATTTGGGTTGCTTCCTTGAAGGTCAAGGTCACAGCATGACCTTGCAGCAACGTACGTATGTACGTATGAATTCGTGTCCGGCCCATAACTTTGTTATTTGAAGTCGGATTTTAAAAATATTTCACAGAAATGATCACCATATTGAGACGATGTGTCGCGCACAACATTTGGGTTGCTACCTTGAAGGTCAAGGTCACAGCATGACCTTGCAGCAACGTACTTATGTACGTACGAATTCGTGTCCGGCCCATAACTTTGTTATTTGAAGTCGGATTTTAAAAATATTTCACAGAAATGATCACCATATTGAGACGACGTGTCGCGCGCAACATTTGGGTCGCTAGCTTGAAGGTCAAGGTCACAGCATGACCTTGCAGCAAAATCTTGTCAGGGCCATTACTTTGTTATTTGAAGTCGGATTTTAAAACTATTTCACAGAAATGATCACCATATTGAGAAGATGTGTCGCGAGCAACATTTTGGTCGCTACCTTGAAGGTCAAGGTCACAGCATGACCTTGCAGCAAAAGTATGTCCGGTCCATTACTTTGTTATTTGAAGTCGGATTTTAAAAATATTTCACAGAAATTATCACCATATTGAGACGATGTGTCGTGTGCAACATCTGGGTTGCTTCCTTGAAGGTCAAGGTCAAAGCATGACCTTGCAGCAAAATTGTGTCCAGACCATAACTTCGTTATTTGAAGTCGGATTTTAAAAATATTTCACAGAAATGATCACCATATTGAGACGACGTGTCGCACGCAACATTTGGGTCGCTACCTTGAAGGTCAAGGTCACAGCATGACCTTGCAGCAAAATCGTGTCCTGCCCATTACTTTGTTATTTTTAGTCGGATTTTACAACTTTTTCACCAAAATGATGACCATATTGAGATGACGTGTCGTGGGCAACATTTTGGTCGCTACCTTGAAGGTCAAGGTCACAGCATGACCTTGCAGCAAAATCATGTCTGGTCCATAATTTTGTTATTTGAAGTCGGATTTTAAAAATATTTCACAGAAATGATCACCATATTGAGACGCAGGGTCCGGAACATTTGGGTCTCCACTTTGAAGGTCAAGGTCACAGCATGACCTTGCAGCAAAAAGCGTGTCCGGCCCATAACTTTGTTACTGGAAGTCGGATTTAATAACTATTTCACAGAGATGATCACCATATTGAATCGACATGCCGCATGCAACATTTGGGTCCCTACCTTGAAGGTCAAGGTCAAGACATGACCTTGCAGCAAAATCATGTCCGGCGCATTACTTCGTTATTTGAAGTCGGATTTTACAACTACTTCACAAAAATGATCACAATATTGAGACAATGTGTTGTGCACAATATTTGGGTTGTTTTTACACTTTGAACTTTGTCTGTGGCATAACTTTGACACAACAAGAGGTATACCTTCCTGTGTCCAAAACCTAATCGGGGAGCATCACCCGGTTCAACCGGCTCTTGTTCTTTGAGATACTCAAATATGTATTCTGTTCTTGGTAAATGATATACATATTTGAAAAAAAATCAAGATTTCTTTTTTGTTCATTAGATTCTTTATTTTTAAAAATATGTTATTTTAAAATTCCAAAGAAATTGTGACAAAGGTACTTTCTTAGTTTTGTTTAACCCTTTACCTCACATATATGTGAAACAATGCACTTTTGACCCCCCAACCCCTTTAGGCCTCAAATAGTGAAAAAAATGTCCTGGTTGGGCCCCAAACTTGAGAAATCTTGATAAAAAAATTATCACTTTTTCGTCATTGCCCCGTATCAAAAAGGTACATCAAGGGGTTGCCAGAAAGAGGATGTGCCCCCTTCTGTTTCGGGATTAGGAAGGGGGGCAGTGGACTCCCTCATCGCCAAGAAAATTTTGGACATGTGACAGGCTAAAAATGGCCTCAGATCGATCATAAGGTAATGTGTAACCAAAGCCTCTATCTCAATCCATTGAGAAGTTGCCACACTTGCAATGCAAAATACATGTAGTGAATTTTTTTTGTGCAATTTTGAGACGTCAGCGGTTGCCATGGTAACAGGAAATTAAAGATTGATCATGCTATTACAGAGGCTATAGTCCAGTCAACATTTGTGCCAAGTTTCATCATTCCTGAAGCATTTTTCATAGTTGCATATCAGTTTGAACTTGTTACAGGAGGCATTTCAGTGAAAATGGCTATTTTTCACAATCAATTTATGCTCATGCGGTAAAGGGTTAAAATTAAAGGAATAATATATGGGTTATTTTTGTTTGTTTTTTCAGGACATAAGGAAAATAAAGGAAGTGATGACAGGCATAAAACTTCATCCATCAGGTCCTTTTATACGTCCAGACATTATTCGTCCACAAGAAATCATCAGTCCACCAGACATTATCATTACAGCAGACACCAGTCCACCAGACATTATGACAAAAACAGAACTTCTTACTCTGACAAACCTTATTCATTTCATAACTTTGTACCTTATAACAAATTACAACACAGTTGGCAGCCGAGAACTGAACCTTCATCTTTGTCTTCTCTCACCAAAAATGATGCAAGGTCATTTGGATCAAGCAGTGCAACAGTAAACAATGAAACTGCCAGTAAAAACAAAGATGTAAAAGCTTCTATTGATAGTAAAAAGGGGTTTGCAGTACGAGAGAAGAGTTCTGCTATTGGCAACTTTAAAGATACAGAGGAAACTGCAGACAAAAAAGAGACACAAGACAAGTGCACAAATAGTGTACAAGTGTTAAGTACAGAATTAGAATGTCTTGCAGGTGGTACTGCAAATAAAGTTGATGGTGAACAATCTGCAAAGAAACAAAGCCAAGGATATAGTAAAAAATCTGCAAAGGAACTAAGCGAAGAAGATAGAACAAAATATGCAAAGGAAATTAGCGCTGTGGATGATAACAATTCTACAACTGAACTGTTTTGTGAGTCAACAATTTTAAACCTCAAAACTCCTAAAGAAAGTAAAGATGCTTATGCAAGTTTCTTGAAGTCCATTATTCCTCAACAGCTTAACACAAGTGTTGCTGTGGATACAGATTCTAGAGCAGATGATGAAGTCATTGTTATTGAATCAGACAAAGAAAATGATGAAAAGCCTGGAAATAAACATAAGTTTTGTACAGATAAGGCTGAGCAGAATGATTTAAGTCTCTCCAGCCTGAGACGTGAAGAACATGATGCAGAAATTACTGTAAAAGAAGAACCAGTGGATGAAGATGTTGTTGATGTTAAGTCTCAGGTTGCTATGAATCTTTCAACTAACTTGGAGAATATGTCTGGCCGTGACAAAACAGCTAATGTACTACCACATGGAAATGGTCCAAGTTCAGAAAAGAAATCGGAAAAGGAAATCATGTATGTTTTACTTTAGATTGTCAATTGTTAAGTTTTGAAATTAATGTGATAGGTTTTTTAAAAAAAAAAGAAAGAATACTTGGTCTTTGACATGTCTGTTCTGCTTGAGTGATATTAACATTATAGAGAATATTTTATGACAAAAGTTTTCTTGTATATTTTTTAGCTCACCTGAGCAATGCTCAGGGTGAGCTATTGTGATAGCCCTGTGTCCGTCGTCCTTCGTCGTGCGTCGTGAACTTTTCACATAAACAACATCTCCTCTGAAACCAATGACTGCACATCAACCAAACTTTACAGAAATGATCCTTGGGTGGTCCCCTTTCAAAGTTGTTCAAATGGTTCCGGTCTGTTGCATATGTAGGTCACAGGGCCAGAAAAGGATTTCAAAAAACACAAAATTAAAAAATCTTCTTGTCTGAAAGTACATGGGCCAGAGCTTTGATTTTTGGTATATGGTATCATCTATGGGTCCTCTACCAAAGTTGTTCAAATTTTGTCCCTAGTGTCAAAATTGGCCCCGCCCCGGGGGGTCATAGGTTTTTCCTTATATGTCTATAGGTAAATCTAAAAAAATCTTCTTCTCTGAATTGGCAAAGGCTACAGATTAGATATTTGGCATGAAACATTGTGTAGTAGACCTCTATCAAGATTGTTCAAATAATGGCCCTAGGGTCAAAATTGGCCCCGCCCTGGGGGGTCATTGATTTTCATTACATACATATAGTGAAAACTTGAAAAATCTTCTGGTCTGAAACTAAATGGCCTAGAGCTTTGCTTTTTGGTATATGGTATCATCTATGGGTCCTCTACCAAAGTTGTTCAAATTTTGTCCCTAGTGTCAAAATTGGCCCCGCCCGGGGGGGTCATAGGTTTTTCCTTATATGTATATAGTAAAACATAAAAAAATCTTCTTCTCTGAATTGGCAAAGGCTACAGATTAGATATTTGGCATGAAACATTGTGTAGTAGACCTCTATCAAGATTGTTCAAATAATGGCCCTAGGGTCAAAATTGGCCCCGCCCTGGGGGGTCATTGATTTTCATTACATACATATAGTGAAAACTTGAAAAATCTTCTGGTCTGAAACTAAATGGCCTAGAGCTTTGCTTTTTGGTATATGGTATCATCTATGGGTCCTCTACCAAAGTTGTTCAAATTTTGTCCCTAGTGTCAAAATTGACCCCGCCCGGGGGGGTCATAGGTTTTTCCTTATATGTATATAGTAAAACATAAAAAATCTTCTTCTCTGAATTGGCAAAGGCTACAGGTAAGATATTTGGCATGAAACATTGTGTGGTAGACCCTCTACCAAGATTGTTCAAATAATGGCCCTTGGGTCAAAATTGGCCCGCCCTCGGGGGTCATTGATTTTCATTATATACATATAGTGAAAACTTGAAAAATCTTCTGGTCTGAAAGTAAATGGCCTAGAGCTTTGATATTTGGTCTATGGTATCATCTATAGGTCCAAAACCAAAGTTGTTCAAATTTTGTTCCTAGAATTAAAATCGGCCCGCCCTGGGGGTCATTGATTTTCCCTATATGTATATTGTAAAAACTTAAAAAATCTTCTTTCAAAGTACCCAAAGAGCTAGAGCTAAGATATTTAGCATGAAACATCTTCTAATGGGTGTCTACCAAGTTTGTTCAAATAAAAGCCCTGGGGTCAAAATTGGCCCCGCCCCAGGGGGTCATTGATTTTCCCTATATGCATATAGTAAAAACTTAAAAAATTTTCTTTTAAAGAATGCAAAGAGCTAGAGCTAAGATATTTAGCACGAAACGTGTTCTAATGGATGTCTACCATGTTCGTTCAAATAAGAGCCCTGGGGTCAAAATTGGCCCTGCCCCGGGGGTTATTCATTAGCTCGACTTTTTTTTTTTTTTAGATATATACATACATATATATATATATATTATATACATACATATATATATATATACATATTTATATATATATATATATATATATATATATATATATATATATATATATACAATATACATACATACATACACACATATATATATATATATATATATATATATATATATATATATATACAATATACATACATACATACACACATATATATATATATATATATATATATATATATATATATATATATATATATATATATATATATATATATGTATTGCATTTTTTGGTGTGTGTGTATATATGAAATATATATATATATATGTATGTATCTATATTGTATATATATATCTTATATATATGTATGTATATACATAAAAAATCTTCTTTTAAAAAACCCAATAAGCTAGACCTTAGATGTTTAGCATGAAACATCTTCTATTGGGTGTCAACCAAATTTGTTCAAATAAAAGCCCTGGGGTTTAAACTGGCCCCGCTCCGGGGGCCTATATACAGGTGAGCGACTTTGGGCCATCATGGCCCTCTTGTTTAAAGTTTTGTATTTAACAACAGCCACAGTATTTTCAACAAGTTTTGAACAGGAAATTGTCAAATTTTGTCAAATTTTGTATTTCTAGTTGTTGTAATTTACTGTTTTTCCATTTACCAAAATTATGTGGTTACATATAACTTATACTGTGAACTTTGCTCTGTTGATATTCAGCTAGCTTTGGTAAGGTCAGTGGTTTAACTTGTAATAGCTCTTGCTTGAGTTCATGCATTATATGTAACATGGACACCAAAGCTGAAAATTAGCCATATAACCTTTACTGTACACTATGGGCATGTCATAAAAATGCCAGCAAACTGTTGACATTCACTTAAATGTACCAAAAACCATGTTATATTGTGGGTTATTAATGAAATACATATATGTTGTGTAATTATGAGTAAATGATAACATAACCTGAGGCTTCCATTAGGTTGAAAATTTGGAAGTGGGAGAATCCAAAAAGCCAGACATCAGAAACCACTTTATATTGGTTAAGAAGGAAAAGCATTACATTTTGGAAGTCACAGACAAAATAAGGGAGTAAATGACTCCCAAACTTCCAATTATGGAGGCCCTGTACAACATGTGGTTAAATGTGTGGTTGGTTTCTTTGCAGATTAAAGGATTTTTATAACAGATGTCAGAACAGTTCACGTGACAGCAGGAAAAGACCTGCAGAATCATGTACAGAGGAGGAAATAACTCGAGGTAAGAAAATCACTTTGATATATAAGATGGTGTCATTTCAAGTTATAGATAAATAGCCAAGCATATTTCATCATATTAGCTTAAGGAACATCAGTGGTTCTACTCAGGTGCCTGTTTGTGCCTAAGGGTACTTGAGGTCTTCCTCCACCAGTAAAGCTGGAACATTGCCAAATGACCTATACTGTGTCAGTGTGACATAAAACCCAATCAAACAAATTTTAAACAAACAAAATTTCATCATAACCACAATAGGGTTTTTATTCTGTCTATTGAAATAATACTTGAAATTAGGCTATCTTTCTTGTTTTGGTGTTGTTGCAACTGTTGGATTAAAGTTTTACATATTACTTGGGGACAATAATTGGAGGTCACTGTTTCTAATGATGATTTTAAATTGTAAATGTGTTTTTATGTTTTCAGAAATAGGTAGTACTTCACTAAAAAGATCGTTTTTGTGTCGCCTTGAAAAGGTGACATATAAGGGTTACTTTTGTCGGCGGCGTCTGTGTCGGCGTCGTTGTCGGCGTCCCCTAAAGCTTGTCCGGAGCATAACTCAGTCACTATAAGTCTGATTGACTTCAAACTTGGTATGAATGCTTATTTCAATAACCCGAAGTGCAGTGCACAAGGACCGGTACTCTGCAGTTCTTATTTTTTGAGTTATTGCTCTTTGTTAATTTTCATACTTTAATTTTGTCCGGGCCATTTCTCTTCAACAAAAAAAGCTATGGACTTGAAACTTCATAGGATGATAGATCTCATTTTTAAGAAGTGCAGTGCACAAGAACCAGTACTCTGCACTTCCTAATTTTTGAGTTATTGCCCTTTGTTAATTTTCATACTTTATTTTTGTCCGGGCCATTTCTCCTAATGTATAAAAGCCATGGACTTGAAACTTCATAGGATGATAGGTCTCATTAAGAAGAAGTGCAGTGCACAAGAACTGTTACTCTGCATTTCTTATTTTTTGAGTTATTGCCCTTTGATTATTTTCATACTTTAGATTTGTCCGATAAAAGCTATGGACTTGAAACTTCATAGGATGATAGATCTCATTATTAAGAAGTGCAGTGCACAAGAATCTGTACTCTGCATTTCTTAATTTATGAGTTATGGCCCTTTGTTAATTTTCATACTTAATTTTTGTCCAGGCCATTTCTCCGAAAGTATAAAAGTTATGGACTTGAAACTTCATAGGATGATAGATCTCATTAAAAAGAAGTGCAGTGCATAAGAACTGATACTCTGCATTTCTTATTTTTGAGTTATTGCCCTTTGTTGATTTTCTTACTTTATTTTTGTCCTGGTCATTTCTCCTCAAGTATGAAAGCTATGGACTTGAAACATCATAGAATGATAGATCTAATTGATAAGAAGTGCAGTGTACAGAAACTGCTGCTCTGCACTTATTAGTTTTTTAATTATTGCCCTTTGTTATTTTTCATATTTCATTTTTGTCCTGGCCATTTCCCCTAAACTTCATTGTTCACAAGGCGACACATCCGACTCGCAGAGTTCTAGTTAAGAAATAACTAGAACTGCATTTTAAAGTTTAATACAGCTATGCAAATTTCTAATTTTTTATCAAGAAGGAATACTTGCATTATACTATGGCCTTTTTTTCTGAACATTAGACACATTTGCACATTGTCTTTCATTTGACATGCTGAAATATGACCTTGACCCCCAAATCCACCAATCACTGTTCATTTGTATATTAACAAAAAATGATCTACTTCTGTTCCTACTATTTAGTGTGGTGGCATAGCATTCTTTGCACAAACTTGCTAATCTTACTATTCATTAACATATGAGCCGCGTCACAACAAAACCAACATAGTGCGTTTGCGACCAGCATGGATCCAGACCAGCCTGCACATCCGCGCAGTCTGATCAGGATCCATGCTGTTCGCTTACCAACTCTATTACAAGTAGAGAAACTGATAGCGAACAGCATGGATCCTAATCAGACTGCACAGATGTGCAGGCTTGTCTGAACCAATGCTGGTCGCAAACCCATTATGTTGGTTTTGTCATGTGGCATGGCTCATTTCTTCGTTTGTTTCTAAAGATTCCAGTAAAACCATACAAGGCAAAAGTGGAGCATTATGGAAACAAAACAGTCAGACAAAAGAGTGTGTTGATTATATCAGTAAACAGAATGAGGGAATGAATAAGAAATCACAGGAACCTGTAGATAGCAATGAAAAGTTACCTGTAACAAATGTAGAAGCTCTAAATGAGAAGGAAGTTGCTTACACGATTTTTGAAGATGGTGCTAAACTGGGAAAAGCTGACAAATTACCTTTGACAAATGTTGAAGCAGTGAGTGAAAGGATAGATGAAAGAAATAATGCTATAGCAATTAGCAAAGATCAACCATCAGACAATGAAGTAGCACAGGAAATGAACAACAATGGTGAGACAGAATATGAAACTAATTTCATTTATAGTAAATGTAAAGTAAAAGATATTAACACTTCTATCAATAATAACAGCTGAAGGTAATGTTAAAGGAACTCCACTGAGGTCAGCCTGAAACAATGTTAAAGGAACTCCACTGAGGTCAACCTTAAACTTGACTTGTTCTTTAATAATATAGGTCAACAGTTACTGGGGAATTAAAAACAGAAATATTATGCAAAAGATAACTAAGAAACATATTCAAAAATAAATAGAGAATAATTATTGTATACCGAACCTGAAAACAAAATTTAAAACACTTAGTTCCTGCTAAAGACTCATTGATGGTAAATTCCAATTAGTGTTTATTCATTAACTCTACTTTTTTCAACTTAAACCCCAAGTGAATATAAAGAATAGTGCAGGAAAGTCATATATTTGTTTGTACTAGTATTAATGTTGACAAAATAGATGGGAGAAAATACACATGCTTTGCTAAATCAGTTTCTTCTATTTATCTTTAAGATGGAAGCTCAAAAGATACTGAGAAAGAAAGAAAATCAGCAAAAAGTACAGAGAAAATACAAATAATAGATAATGCAAATGAAGGGCAAATTATAAATAATGTAAAGGAAAGGCAAATTATAAATAATGTTAAGGAAAGAAAAAAATTGAGGAGTGAAACAGGGGAAGAACAAACAACTGACAAAACAGAGATGAAAGGCCTTTCAACAAATAGCACAAATGAAAGACAAATAAGAAATGAGACAATGGATGGAGGAAAATCAGCAAATAATTCCGATGAAAATGCAAGGGGAGAAGATAAACCAAAAACTGATACAAAGACAGGACAAATAGACAATACAGGTAAAGAAGTAGAAGCAACACCTGAAACAGAAGAAGGACAAAAACCTAATAATAACATGGAAGAAGGGCAAGCAGCAAATGATAAAGAGGAAACAGATAAATCAACTAATAATGTAAATGATACACAAACAGAAAACAATACATTGAAAACTGATGTAACATCAATTATTAGAAAAGAAGACATAACAGCAGATGGTAAAGTTCAAGAACAAACAGCAAATCAAACTAAAGGAGAACAAGCCATAAATAATACAGTGGAAAGGCAAACTGGAAATGATATAGAGGAAAAAGATGATTTAACAAAAGATACAAGAGAAGAAGGTAATTCAACAAATATTACAAAGGAAGTACAAACAAAAAGTAATGTAGTGGAAGAAGGACAATCTGTAAACAATACAATGGAAGAAGGTAAATCATCAAATGGTACAAAGGAAAGACAAACAGCAATTAATACAGATGACCAGGGTAATTCTATAAACAGCACTGTGGAAAAACAAACAAGTGATACTACAGCGGAAGAACATACAACCAATAATGAGGTTGCTGTAATAGATCTAGAAGTTCCAGAAGCTAGTAATGTATCTGTACCCTTTGGAAATGCTCAAAATGATAGTAATGATAATGTAGTTGTCATTGATTTAGAGAACAACACTGAAGTTGTTATTATTGACCTAGATAAACAGGATGAAGAGATATTTAATGGGAAGCGTGGCGGTAAATTGAATAATAAGAGAAGAGGCAACATTAAGAAGAGATTTACAGATAAAGGAACAATTGTTATAGACAATGATGAGAATTCGGAACCAAAGAATTCAGAATTAAAAAAACTAAGTAAGTATTGTTGGTTATTAAGAAGCCAAAGTGTAAAAATTTTAAGTATGGTTTATTTAACTGGAATGAAAACATGGTTAGCAACAATTTTAGCGTTAGGCTGAATATTAATTTAGAATTGAATGCTTGTATTAATATTTTGTACTTTAAAATCTTAAATCTTATATAATTAACATCGGTGTACTCAGACAGTATTGATTACAACTATTGACTTTAACTCAATAGTAGGGAGAGCACCTTACGACTCGACAATATCTGTAAATAAAAAACCTGTCTCAACAGATACAATTTGAATAATAAAGCTTACCAATTTGATCAGAAATGTCCAGAGATATTTGAAAATGCATTGACATTTTGTTTATAATCGTTATATCATTATTAAGAGAAAGATGTTGCTACATTATACTGTCCAGTATGTAAACTGCATGTAGACAGTGACCTATGGACAGGTCATATGAGGGGAAAGAGACATAGACTAAATAAACAGGTAAAATATTTTCACTATAATTTTTAGCTCGACTTTTCTATGAAAAGGGGAGCTATCCTACTCGCCCCGGCGTCGGCGTCACACCTTGGTTAAGTTTTTCGTACGACCCCACTTTATTTCAGAAGTATTACAAGTATGGCTTTGAAACTTACCATACTTGTTCACCATCATAACCTCCATCTACAGACAAGAGTACATAACTCTGTCAAGGTTTTTGACAGAATTATGGCCCTTTTTTGACTTAGAAAGTGTATTGAGCTTGGTTAAGTTTTTTGTACCACCTCACTTTATTTCAAAACCATTGGAGGTATTGCTTTGAAACTGACCATACTTGTTTACCATCACGACCTTCATCAACAGACAAGAGGACATAACTCTGTCAAGGTTTTTGACAGAATTATGCCCCTTTTTGACTTAGAAAATACATTGAATATGGGTAAAATCCACTTATTGCCTTAACCCTTTGAGATATTGCTTTGAAACTTTTAATGCTATTTCACATCATTACCCCCATCTGTACGCAAGAGAAGGTAACTCTGTCAAGGATTTGTTTTAAAAATTAAGGCCTTTTATCGACTTAGAATCTAAAAAAGCTTGATTTATCTATTACTTGTATTATAAGGTAACTATAATACTTTCACATACAAAGTCAAATCTATATATTATGCTGATTGTACAAAAATATACTGCTTCCTTGGCATAGATTTCTTGAAAAATTATGTTATTATGTCATTTACCAAGGTGTTCTGAGTGACGTAAAAATACCTTATTCTCTCAAAGTGGGTTTAATACTATTAAATTTATTTAAGGCTCAACTCAGTTTTTTTTTCTTTCTTACCAGCCCTCTTTTGACTTAAACATTTCAAACTTTGCTGCAGTGTTCAAGGGTATCACACAATTCAGTAAAATAATTCTTCACTAAATATCTTAATGCTCATGGCCATTGTTCACTTTAAAAATACAGAGATTCTTGTATTGCCTTTTACTGCAAAAACTTTTTTTATTGGCAAGCAATAAAAAAGTCGAGCGCGCTGTCTTACGGACAGCTCTTGTTGTGTAAAATTACAAATCATCAACTTAGTGCAATAACGGAAGATGTTCTTCTAAATTCAATAGCAGTTAATCAGTTATTGCACTAAGGTGACAAAATAGGTTCATTATCATAACCTTCAGTAGTTTGATTATCAGTCTTGGTAAAGATCCTAAATCTTATAACTTTTGAGTGAAAGTTTTATTATTAATTATGAAAATTAATTCTTATGATTTTAACCCAAAAGTTTATTAAGATTGGTATTTTTTAAGCAATTTTGGCGTATGTGTTTATTTTTAGCTCATCAGAGCACAATGTGTTCAGTCATTTGTTGTCACTTGATGTCTTGAGTCAAAATGTCTGTCCCGACTTCTTTTAACATTACATCTCCTAAACCAGTTGGTCAATCATAACACAATTTCTAGGAATAATTCTAATGGGTGATCTTCTTTCAAAGTTGTTCAAAAAAAGCAGAACTCTGGTTGCCATGGCAACTAAAAGAAAAAACAGTTAAATCTTGATATCTCAAATTGTAAGGGACTAAGCATTTTACTTCCACAATAAATAAAAATCCAGGCTCAGCTTTCACTAATGTTCTCAAACTGAGACAAATATCTCATCCTAAGATTTTTACGTGCTGTTACCCTTTGTATACGAGAACATGTATGTTTATGCCAGATTGAAAATTGAAGTTGTGTTTCTACTGGTATTGGTTGTGCTGATTCTTGAATCACTTTTCAATATTTTATAGAATATAATCAGCATTAACACAAAGCACATGTTTCTATGAAGCACTTATACAAGCATCAAAGTACTCTATTTTTACACCTCAATCATAAGACCATCATTCATTGTCTTCCAGTGTCTCATATTTGGTATTCAAATACCATGCACGGGGTTAAGGCTGTTGACTTTAAATTACCGCGATATACTTGGGATTTTAGCAAGTGTGGAAGATAGCCAGCTATCTTACAGAATGTTCATAGTTCTACACAGATGTGCCGCCTTAAGCTTGAAATAATGCTAAGTGGGGCATCTGAGGTCTTTCTCCACCATTTTAAGGTTAGAAAATTGCCATATGACCTCTTAACAGTGTCTGTGATCTTATTTTTACAGAAAAGACTGGAAAGCAAACATTGTAAGGACCTGTACAAAATTTGTATTGATCAAATGAGAAAGCAAATAAACAGAAAGAAGAAAGAATGGAGGTACACGTGATTTTAGTTTCTATTTGTCAGACTGTCATTGATGTTATAATTTGTATAGGAGTTAAAGGTGCATCAAAATATATCCAGAAAATTAAACTTGAGAAAAATGTACAAGATTTTAGGAAAAGTAAAAATATTTGCATATACATGGGTTGCAGGTGGTGTTTGCAATGTGTAAATTACTTTCTTTATTCACTTCACAATATTTTACTTTTTAAAAACATTTTTTTTATTTTTCCTGAAATTAGCATGAATCTGAAGGCAAACTGCTTTAAATGATAATTGCTTACAAAATCAAGGTGCCTTAAAATTGCATTAATATTGTGCTCATGTTGGCAATTTAATTAATGAATGATTAAAAGAGGCCTGTTGGTTTTCTTTAATAAAGTAGGTAATGAAGGGGATCGGTGGCCTAGTGGTTAATGTGTCTGTCTGTCAACCCAGGGATCATGGGTTTAAGATCTAATTGTGTCACAACCATGCTTCTTCATATGACACCAGTACTGGTTGGTTTCAGAAAGTGGACTTGAAAGTGATTCATGTTAGTTACAAAAACTTGTTTGCAAATCAAGCTTAAATAAATATGTTTAAACCAAGCCTAATATGGTAAGCATTTTAACCTTGAGTATTTTCAGGAACAAGCAGAAAGTTAAATCGAGTGAATGCGGCAAAGAATGTAGAAAAAATAAAAGTACTAGTTATCAGGAGTCAGAAGTAAGTGTGAAATAATGTTGATCTTGAGTAACTTATCTAGCAGTAACAAGAAGTAATTATGCCATGACCAACTAATGGAATCCTTTTTTGTAAGCCTGTTTGAAAGACAGGTCGTATTATAATTTCTGTCTTGGCGGGCGGTGTCCTGTGAGTTTTGTCCGGAAGATATCTTGTACAAGTATTGAGGAAATTTAATTAAACGTCATAGAAATGTTCACCACTATGAGAAGCTGTGTCACACACATGAACCAGGTCTGTAGGTCAAAGGTCAAGATCACACTTAGAGGTCATTGAAAAACCTTGTCCGAAACAAAACTTCTACATACATGAAGGAATTTCAATATAACTTGGCACAAATGTTCACCATTGTAAGGCTGAGGGTTCTGTGCAAAATGTAAGTGCCTGTGGCCAGGGACAAGGTCACACATAGGGGAAAAAGTTCAAATGTAAATATGAAAATGTGTATTTGGACCATTAAGTCATCATTTATTGAGGGATTGACACACAAATGGTCCTTATCATGACTACCATTGTGAAGCTAAGTATTTCCCACATAAACCAGGGCCCTGCTAAGTTTGTGTACGGGAACCATTTAGTCATCATTTATTGATGGATTGTAACACAAATGATAACTGTCATGACTACAAGTGAGACACATGCATGTACTTTGCAAGGTCAATGTCATTACAGATGATAAATATCCAGATATTGTCCGGATATTGTCCAGAGTATATCTCCTATATGCATATCTACAATGCCCACATTTCTGACAAAAGCTTTGTGACAGGCGTATTTTGCAACAATGTTGCCCTTGTTTAAAAATTGTTTTCATTAGTAAATTGATTTGACTGAACTATTCATAATTTTTATTTTAGATACAAGATAATTCTTGCAACACACATGAAAATGCCATGCAGAAACGTTGCAGTAAGCAAGGTAAGAATGTAGAAGGGAGATAATTTTTATAAAGGTAGGAGAGGTTTTATGATTCTGAAGGTAGAATGGTAGCAGAAAAGACATATTGTCAAGGCAAGAAGGCATTGGGATATAACTATTTCTAAAGGTGATACTCATTGCTAGGGAGCAGAGATCACTGGAAGTTTATAGAAATACATGTATAACATGGGAAGATCTAAACACAAAATGTTTGCATTTTTTTGTTTGTTTATATTAAACCATATTTTAAACTGCTGGAAGGATGAATAAAATTTACATGAAATTTTTGAAGAAAATAGTTTTACTGCATGTGCATTTTACATTTTGCCTGCAATTTTAATGCATGCCTTTAGAAGTTTTTGTGTTGATCATGCACTGCATGTAATGGTTAATTTTAGAGAATTTCAGTCTCTGAACTTATAAACTGAAAAAAGGAACATAAATGATTAAAATATGTTATACAGTCAAACGTGTATTAAGCGATCGTGCAAGGGAAACACCAAAAACGGTCGCTTAATGAAACGGTCTCTTAAGACTGTCAGCATGATATAAAAGTCAAAATTTATAAATGACATCTTTTTTCTTTGATGGGATTGTTTTTCAACTTCATTTTTATATAAATGTTGAATAATAAGTACACTCCGATAATCTAAACGTATGCAAATGTAAAAATGTTACGTTCTGATATTTATTGACAAAATCAGTTTTGATCCATTACGTACATGTTTACATTTTTTTCCAGAATTTTTTAACTTCTCTGTTGTTTTTCCTTGTCTCCAACACGAAAACCCTATTAGTGAAGATGTTTTCTGTTGTGCATTATTTCATTTGAAATAAACAAACTACATCTATTTGTTACGATTAATTTAATGGCTGATCAAGTTCAAGGTCAACTCAATGCAGTATAAATGTCAACAAGCGAAGTGTATACACCATCTCAGTATGGGCGGAGCGTTGCATTGTTTATCCGATATTATTGGATAATACACGTCACGCGTATACTTAACTTCATTTGCATACGCTAAAACGGTATGGGAAATAGAGTTTTTCACATGTTTATTGTTGTGTTTTGATTGCTGACACTTGTGACATAACGAGGTGGCGTTCTCTAAAAACACAATTACTTGACAGGTAAAAGTGGTCGTTTAATGAAAAGATTGATGTCAATTAGGTGACTAATTAGCGGTCGCTGGTCGCGTTGAGCAAAAAGCGATTAATACATTAAAGATATAGAGAGAAAATGATCAGGGGGAATTTAAAGTGGTCGTTTAAGACAAAAGTCGCTTATTACATGTGGTCGCATGGGCAAGTTAGACTGTATTTGAAAAATTACAATAATTTTTGCACATATAAAATGTAGATATTTCAAAGTTCTATTAATTCAACAACTGATTGGATATAATAATCATAAATTGACCCCCACTAGCTAATAACCTTTCCAATTTTTAGCAGTGACAACCTTTTATAGATTCATAGCAAGGTCAACCACTCTTAAACATTATCACAAACAAAACCATGTGTTCTTTTATGTACTTTATAACCAGATCAACCAGTGACTAATTATGTATTACCCCAGTGTATCTATCCAAATTATTCTGTCACTTTGCATGAATTTGAAAGTACTGGAAAGGTCCATTGAAATAAACTGTCTTTATTTCTTGACAAAAATAAATAAAAACCACAGTTCTAATTAACTCAATGGTGCTTAAAGGGACTCCACTGAGGTTTTTTGACATGATGGGACAGATCCAGAAATGTACTATTTTATGCAGGTTTAGGCCTCTTATCATTGTGCAAAATTTCAGACCATTCGCACACTTTGTTTTTCCAGAGTAATTATTCAAATTGTAAAATATGACCCAAAATGAAAATCGTTTAAATGCTTTTCACTCAAATCCGATTTTTTATTTATTTCTTAACTATATTTATTAACTATATTTGCATATATTTCTGTTTAAAGTGCCGCACCTTATTTATGTAAGAATTTCAAATGTTATGTTTTTAGGCTTTTAAACCTTAATGGAGTTCCTTTAAGGATGAAAATTCAAGTTGATTATTTTTTGATGTGATTGTTTTCAGAAGGGTTTAGAAAGACAACAGTTGAAAACATTGTAAAGCCTGATGATAATTCAGTTATACTGATTGACTCTGAGCATGAGGAGGAAGCACAGACTATTGGAACATTGGGTCAGTCACATGATACAGATTCAAATGTTGCTAGGCAACGTTCTTGCTGTTCTATATTTAGTAACAACACAAACAGGAGTCATTGTGTTGGAGAAGGTTGTAATGTCCAATCTAGTGGAACATTTAGACAAGAGGGTTTACAAATACCTGATCATTCTTGTCAAGGTATACATTATGGTAGGTATTGTGTTCTATATTAATACAAATGATAAAGTTACAATATTTGTTGAGAAAGTTTGTATTATTTTCACTGCGGTATACCGTACCCCGGATATTGCTCGATATTATGAGGACTTTCATCCCATTTCGCGACTTTGAACCGAGAACGAAGGTAAGTTCAACGACGATATTTTCCAAACTAATGGCTATTTCATTTATTTCAACGGGTTTTATATATCTAGAGGTATTTTTGTAGCTCTAAAAGACGTAAAAGTATTACAGGTATTTGTAAAATTGATTAAACTACCTCTAAACGATCTGCTGCTCACTAGGAAATACTGACCGCGATACTGTAGAATCGTTAGAAATTATTATATTATCAATATAAAAAAATTGAATCGAGCAATTTTTTTATTCACAATCCAAGTATGCTTTGTCCAAATTTCAGGCAAAAAGTGTGAAAGTACAAAAAGATACAGGCCAAAAAAGATACAAGAAAGTGTACCGAGTATTGATTTTAAGTGTACAGAGTATTGCAAAATAGCCAACTTTAGTGTACAGTGTATTGCAAAACAAAATGAGCACATAAGTATGTAAAATCGATATTTTTGTCTAATTTTCACGTCTGTTTATCGATTCCATTACATTCTGCTGATAATGTACTGTTTATATGATATTTATTCAAATATTCAGATTCAACAATGCATTTTCAGTGTTATTACTGTTCTTTTCCTACGGGCAAATACAGAGATTTAATTTCCAATTTGATTGAAAATCACACTATGGATGAAATAAAGTGTGTGCAAGGTCGGAAGCAGGGTCGGGAGCAGGGATGAACCATCAAAATTGACGATAGAAATCTTTAAATGCATGTCTCAAGAGAGACCCATCTCTGAAAAGAAGGAAAAGAAAAAAACATTGATTTAAGCCTCTTTTACAATTTCAAACTGCTATGAAACTATACAAAATGCTTCAATACTGATCAAACTGGGCACAAATGTTGGCTGGACCATAGCCTGTGGAACACCATGCTCAATTTGAAATTTCCAGTTACCATGACAACGGGGGGACGTCTCAAAATTGCGTTGTTTTTCCCACATCAAAACTGATTTCAAGGTGCAGCAACTTCTCAATTGATTGAGATAAAGTCTAAGATTTTCGGCGTTGATTACACGGTACGTTTAAATCGACCTGAGGCCATTTTAGCCCCCCCCCCCTCACAAGTCCCAAATCTTCTCGGGGATAAGAGGGGCTACTGTCCCACTTCAAACCCCCAAACAGAAGGGGGTACACCTCCCCTGTGGCACCTCCTTGATGTACCTTTTTACTGGGGTGTGGTGGTGGCGCCGAAAAAGTGATCACTCTTTTGAACAACATTAATTTTCTCAAACTCAAAATTTCTAAATAGCGCATGTTTTACACTATTTGAGGCCTCAAAAGGGGTGGGGTGTAAAGCCTTCAAATATGATAAACAAGAAAAGGAAAGGAAAGGCGGCGTTCAATGAACGCAACCCCCCTACGACCCAGCAACACGAACCAGTGGCAAGGAGCCCAGGCGGACCTCAAACAAAACAGGACTGCAGAAGACAGCCCTAAAACACGCCTTTATGTGGTAAAATGTAATAAGGAACATAACTTTCTTATTGCATCTGCTGCCCTTTATCATAATCTTATCAAAATCCATTATTCGATTTTTATTTGTTTGGGTCGTCAGACCAAACAAATAATGGTAGTGAAATTTCAGAGTCTAATGCTGTTAACTGCAAATGCCGAAAGTAGTCCACTTTTTTGAAGCGGTTACTTCCCTTTATAATGTACACTAACTCCGAGAAATTCAGGGGAGATCACTGCGTAAAGATGGTCAAAGAAAGGCACATTAATTTTCAAGCAAAATAATTCCCGAATGGTCGAAGATTTCTAATATTGTTTTATTGTATTTTCTGATCAAAAATTAGTAAAGACAAAGCGAACATTCAATCTCTGACATAGAAGTTTACGACGAACCTAACAACAAGTAGTTCTCAAAACAGCTTGAAACTAGCGGTTTAAAAGAAAGAAATATTTTTATTTTGTTACAAGTATCCAACAAATTACAACGCATTCAAAGTTTAAAAATAGCGTTGGCTTATAAAATTGTCAATAAATGCACAATCACAAATTACGCTGATGAATATGATTTTATCAATGAAAATACTATTTTTAGCGATGTCGATTAGACCGAGTAGTGGAATATATAAATTCTACATGTCGGACTGTTTGGGCGAGAAGATTTTCGCGAAATTAACTACTTCAATTTTAAACATAGTAGGAAGTCGGTTGATAATAGATATTGGCACACTTGCTCAATACCATCTAATATTGACAATCTTCAGGCAGCATTAATGGACTTTGGATGCTTTTTTTACTATTTAAAGTAAGATATGCAATAATTATTAACAAATTCTGGAAAGGTTGATCCTTCGATAGCAACGAGAACTTTGTAAACACAGAAAATTGCTGAGTTCGACTGGGATTTTTCATGATCAGGAATGAAAATCTGGATTATTCGCAGATGTTTCCAGTAAAGTACCTCTGAACTCTGCATATTGTGCACATATAGTGTAAATAAGTATACACAATAAGAAATATTTAAAATTAAATGTGGTGTTTACTACTTTCATTTACTCTATATTGATAACCAATACTCGTTACACTAAAAAGCAATACTCGTGACACCGGCGGGCAACTCCAACGCAATACTCGGTACACTGACATGTGTATTTATTCTCAAAATGCACTGTCATCTGGGTTCTATTGTTAATTGAACATCTACATCATTAACATTATCATCATTATCACATTTCACTCGATTCAAGTTTTTCTTTTGAGAAAGTATATGCACAAAAACATCAAATTTGACTGATCCGAGCTCATTTATCTCGTGAGCAAAGAGACAAATTATACCTCCTAATTACATTTCAAAGCTATTTCTCAACATTTTTGGGGTTTCAGCAACTAGAGAAATTATCGAAGTATTTTGTTTTTCTATAAAATTTGTATCAAACCAATTCCAAATGACTAAATATCGTCACTGAACTTACCTCCTTTCTCGTTCAAAGTCGCGAAATGGGATGAAAGTCCTCATTATATCGAGCAATATCCGGGGTACGGTATACCGCAGTGATTTTGCCATATCTCTTATAATATTCAATCAATATTGTTGAATATGGTAGCAGGGGCTGAGTGGTTAAGGTCGTTGACTTCAAATCACTTGCCCTTCACTGCTGTTGATTCAAATCCCAATATGGACTTTAGTTGGATTCTTTCATGTGAGGAAGCTATCTAGCTTGTTATGACTAGAGTGGTTCTACTCAGGTGGTCCATTTATGACTGATATAATGCACAGAAAGGCACCTGAAATATTCCTCTTCCAGTAAAGCTTGAAAGTTGCAATGTTTGAAAATTATTGTATTTTTACTGTTTTTATGCTATCATAATGGCAAAAGTATTGAATTAATGTATGGATTGTCTTTTATACTGGAGTCACAAGAACCCTAGGCACAAGAACTTAAACATGACCTTTGTTTAACCTTCAAATCTGTCTAAATTTGTTATTTACAGAACGTTTGTAACATATTGTAATGATAGATTAAGAACAAGTGAAATGCTTTTCAATGGAAAAAAATAGTTATGAACTTTTTAAAACAATTGTAAAAGCATACTAAAAATAAAAAGCTTTTATCAAATAAAGATATAAATCTATTTTTAGCTCATCTGTCACAAAGTGACAGGGTGAGCTTTTGTGATCACTTTAAAACTTTAAATATCTTCTTTTTAAAACCAAAAGAGCTAGAGCTTAAATATTTGGCATAAAAACATCTTCTAATGAGTGTGTACCAAGTTTGTTCAAATTAAAGTCCTGGGGTCAAAATTGGCCCCGCCCCAGGGGGTCATTGATTGATTTTCTGTATGTGCATAATTATAGTAAAGACTTAAAAAAAATTTCTTTTAAAGAATTCAAAAAGCTAGAGCTAAGATATTTAGCATGAAACATGTTCTAATGGGTGTCTTCTAAGTTTGTTCAAATAAAAGCCCTGGGTTCAAAATTGGCCCCGCCCCAGGGGGTCATTGATGTTCCTTATATGTGTATAGCAAAAACTTAAAAAATCTTCTTTGAAAAAACCCAAATGGCTAGAGTTTAGATATTAAGCATGAAACATCTTCTAGTAAGTGTCTACAAAGTTTGTTCAAATTAAAGCCCCGCCCCAGGGGTGTCATTGTTTTTAACTACAGTTTATGTGTTTCTTCAAATAAAAGCCCTTGGGTTAAAATTGGCCCTGCCGGGGGGGGGATAACTTAGAATCATTATTTTTCTTTATATGTGTGTAGTTAAAACTTAACATCATGAAACATCTTCTAATGGATGTCTTCCAAGTTTGTTCAAATAAAAGCCCTGTGGCTTAAACTGGCCCCACTTGGGGGTTATATACAGGTGAGGGACCTTAGGGGCCATCATGGCCCTCTTGTTTTATATTTTATTGGTTTTTAAGTTGTCATAACTAATTTGTAATGTTCCTGGTCAAATATCACTTACCACAAGACAGGCATGTTGAATAATTCAAACATGACCTTGACCTTAAAATGACCTTTATCATCAAGGTCAAGCAATTGAATACATTAATTGAGTTGTGATAACTGTTATTTTATTTCAGGATTTAATCAATAATTTGGGAAAAAAGAACACAATACAGGATTGCAATAATTTATGACTATAAATTTTTATATTATAACATCATATTGAGTATATTTTTTCAGGCATCATTTTCAGGCTATAGGTTTTGATGTCAGTGTCACATAACATCCGGCATTGCAGGTTTTCCCTGTCATTCGTAATCCATACATTTCAACTTATTTTTCTTTTCAGATTGTAATTTTTCAGCAGGTTTTGATGGTGTAATTGAAAGAATTGAATTTCTTCACAATAAACCATGTTCTATTGCTGTAATCATACGAGTTCCAGAACACGACTATCCCTCAGTACTGCCCTCGGTAATAACTTACATTTTTAGCTCACCTGACCACGAAGTGGTCAAGGTGAGGTATAGTGATGGGGCTATGTCCGGCGTCCGTCGTCGTGCGTCGTGCGTCGTGCGTCGTGCGTCGTCAACAATTGGGTTGTTAACAGTCTAGAAGTCACAGTTTTGATTGGATCATCATCAAACTTTGTCAGAATGTTTATCTCAATGAAATACAGGTCGAGTTCGAAGATGGGTTATCTCGGGTCAAAAACTAGGTCACAGGAGCTAAAAATAGAAAAACCTTGTTAACACTCTAGAGGCTGCAGTTTTCATCCAAATATTCTGGAAATTTGTCAGGAAGGTTGTTTTAATGATATCTAGGTCAAGTTCGAAGATGGGTCATCTCCAGTCAAAAACTAGGTCACAGGAGCTAAAAATAGAAAAAGCTTGTTAACACTCTAATAATTGGGTTGTTAACAGTCTAGCAGTCACAGTTTTGATTGGATCATCATCAAACTTTGTCAGAATGTTTGTCTTAATGAAATACAGATCGAGTTCGAAGATGGGTTATCTCGGGTCAAAAAACTAGGTCACAGGAGCTAAAAAAAGAAAAAGCTTGTTAACACTCTAGAGGCTGCAGTTTTCATCCAAATATTCTAGAAATTTGTCAGGAAGGTTGTTTTGATGATATCGAGGTCAAGTTCGAAGATAGGTCATCTCAGGTCAAAAACTAGGTCACAGGAGCTAAAAATAGAAAAAGCTTGTTAACACTCTAGTGGCTGCAGTTTTCATCCAAATATTTTGGAAATTTGTCAGGAAGGTTGTTTTGATGATATCTAGGTCAAGTTCGAAGATGGGTCATCTTCGGTCAAAAACTAGGTCACAGGAGCTAAAAATAGAAAAAGCTTGTTAACACTCTATAGGCTGCAGTTTTCATCCAAATATTCTGGAAATTTGTCAGGAAAGTTGTTTTGATGGTTTCTAAGTCAAGTTCGAAGATGGGTCATCTCCGGTCAAAAACTAGGTCACAGGAGCTAAAAATAGAAAAAGCTTGTTAACACTCTATAGGCTGCAGTTTTCATCCAAATATTCTGAAAATTTGTCAGGAAGGTTGTTTAGATGATATCTAGGTCAAGTTTGAAGATGGATCATGTCGGGTCAAAAACTAGGTCACAGGAGCTAAAAATAGAAAAAGCTTGTTAACACTCTAGTGGCTGCAGTTTTGATCCAAATATTTTGGAAATTTGTCAGGAAGGTTGTTTTGATGATATCTAGGTCAAGTTCGAAGATGGGTCATCTCCGGTCAAAAACTAGGTCACAGGTGCTAAAAATAGAAAAAGCTTGTTAACACTCTAGTGGCTGCAGTTTTCATCTAAATATTCTGGAAATTTGTCAGGAAGGTTGCTTAGATAATATCTAGGTCAAGTTCGAAGATGGGTCATCTCAGGTCAAAAACTAGGTCACAGGAGCTAAAAATAGAAAAAGTTTGTTAACACTCTAGTGGCTGCAGTTTTCATCCAAATATTCTGGAAATTTGTCAGGAAGGTTGTTTTGATGATATCTAAGTCAAGTTGGAAGATGGGTAATGTCCGGTCAAAAACTAGGTCACAGGAGCTAAAAATAGAAAAAGCTTGTTAACACTCTAGTGGCTGCAGTTTTCATCTAAATATTCTGGAAATTTGTCAAGAATGTTGTTTTGATGATATCTAAATCAAGTTCGAAGATGGGTCATGTCCGGTAAAAAACTAGGTCACAGGTGCTAAAAATAGAAAAAGCTTGTTAACACTCTAGGGGCTGCAGTTTTCATCCAAATATTTTTGAAATTTGTCAGGAAGGTTGTTTTGATGATTTTCAGGTCAAGTTCGAAGATGGGCTATCTCCGGTCAAAAACTAGGTCACAGGAGCTAAAAATAGTAAAAGCTTGTTAACAATCTAGTGGCTGCAGTTTTGATTAAAATATTCTGGAAATTTGTCAGGAAGGTTGTTTTAATGATTTCTAGGTCAAGTTCGAAGATGGATCATGTCTGGTCAAAAACTAAGTCACAGGAGCTAAAAATAGAAAAAGCTTGTTAACACTCTAATGGTTGCAGTTTTCATCCAAACATTCTGGAAATTTGTCAGAAAGGTTGTTTTGATGATTTCTAGGTCAAGTTCGAGGATGGGTCATCTCAGGTCAAAAACTAGGTCACAGGAGCTAAAAATAGAAAAGCTTGTTAACACATTAGGGGCTGCAGTTTTCATCCAAATATTCTTGAAATTTGTCAGGAAGGTTGTTTTGATGATTTCTAGGTCAAGTTCGAAGATGGGTTATCTCCGGTCAAAAACTAGGTCACAGGAGCTAAACATAGAAAAAGCTTGTTAACACTCTAGAGGCTGCAGTTTTCATCCAAATATTCTAGAAATTTGTCAGAATGTTTGTCTTAATGAAATACAGATCGAGTTCGAAGATGGGTTATCTCGGGTCAAAAAACTAGGTCACAGGAGCTAAAAAAAGAAAAAGCTTGTTAACACTCTAGAGGCTGCAGTTTTCATCCAAATATTCTAGAAATTTGTCAGGAAGGTTGTTTTGATGATATCGAGGTCAAGTTCGAAGATAGGTCATCTCAGGTCAAAAACTAGGTCACAGGAGCTAAAAATAGAAAAAGCTTGTTAACACTCTAGTGGCTGCAGTTTTCATCCAAATATTTTGGAAATTTGTCAGGAAGGTTGTTTTGATGATATCTAGGTCAAGTTCGAAGATGGGTCATCTCGGTCAAAAACTAGGTCACAGGAGCTAAAAATAGAAAAAGCTTGTTAACACTCTATAGGCTGCAGTTTTCATCCAAATATTCTGGAAATTTGTCAGGAAAGTTGTTTTGATGGTTTCTAAGTCAAGTTCGAAGATGGGTCATCTCCGGTCAAAAACTAGGTCACAGGAGCTAAAAATAGAAAAAGCTTGTTAACACTCTATAGGCTGCAGTTTTCATCCAAATATTCTGAAAATTTGTCAGGAAGGTTGTTTAGATGATATCTAGGTCAAGTTTGAAGATGGATCATGTCGGGTCAAAAACTAGGTCACAGGAGCTAAAAATAGAAAAAGCTTGTTAACACTCTAGTGGCTGCAGTTTTGATCCAAATATTTGGAAATTTGTCAGGAAGGTTGTTTTGATGATATCTAGGTCAAGTTCGAAGATGGGTCATCTCCGGTCAAAAACTAGGTCACAGGAGCTAAAAATAGAAAAAGCTTGTTAACACTCTAGTGGCTGCAGTTTTCATCTAAATATTCTGGAAATTTGTCAGGAAGGTTGCTTAGATAATATCTAGGTCAAGTTCGAAGATGGGTCATCTCAGGTCAAAAACTAGGTCACAGGAGCTAAAAATAGAAAAAGTTTGTTAACACTCTAGTGGCTGCAGTTTTCATCCAAATATTCTGGAAATTTTTCAGGAAGGTTGTTTTGATGATATCTAAGTCAAGTTCGAAGATGGGTAATGTCCGGTCAAAAACTAGGTCACAGGAGCTAAAAATAGAAAAAGCTTGTTAACACTCTTGTGGCTGCAGTTTTCATCTAAATATTCTGGATATTTGTCAAGAATGTTGTTTTGATGATATCTAAATCCAGTTCGAAGATGGGTCATGTCCGGTAAAAAACTAGGTCACAGGTGCTAAAAATAGAAAAAGCTTGTTAACACATTAGGGGCTGTAGATTTCATCCAAATATTCTTGAAATTTGTCAGGAAGGTTGTTTTGATGATTTTCAGGTCAAGTTCGAAGATGGGCTATCTCCGGTCAAAAACTAGGTCACAGGAGCTAAAAATAGAAAAAGCTTGTTAACAATCTAGTGGCTGCAGTTTTGATTAAAATATTCTGGAAATTTGTCAGGAAGGTTGTTTTAATGATTTCTAGGTCAAGTTCGAAGATGGTCATGTCTGGTCAAAAACTAGGTCACAGGAGCTAAAAATAGAAAAAGCTTGTTAACACTCTAATGGTTGCAGTTTTCATCCAAACATTCTGGAAATTTGTCAGAAAGGTTGTTTTGATGATTCTAGGTCAAGTTCGAGGATGGGTCATCTCAGGTCAAAAACTAGGTCACAGGAGCTAAAAATAGAAAAGCTTGTTAACACATTAGGGGCTGCAGTTTTCATCCAAATATTCTTGAAATTTGTCAGGAAGGTTGTTTTGATGATTTCTAGGTCAAGTTCGAAGATGGGTTATCTCCGGTCAAAAACTAGGTCACAGGAGCTAAACATAGAAAAAGCTTGTTAACACTCTAGTGGCTGCAGTATTGATTCAAATATTCTGTAAATTTGTCAGGAAGGTTGTTTTGATGATTTCTAGGTCAAGTTTGAAGATGGGTCATCTCAGGTCAAAAACTAGGTCACAGGAGTTAAAAATAGAAAAAGCTTGTTTACACTCTAGTGGCTGCAGTTTTTATTCAAATATTCTGGAAATTTGTCAAGAATGTTGTTTTGATGTTTTCTGGGTCAAGTGCTAAGATTGGTCATGTTCGGTCAAAAACTAGGTCACAGGAGCTAAAAATAGAAATTTTTTTTTAACACTCTAGTGGCTGCAGTTTTGATCCAAATTTCCTGGAAATTGGTCAGGAAGGTTGTTTTGATGATTTCTAGGTCAAGTTTGAATATGGGTTGTGTCCAGTCAAAAATTAGGTCACATTGCCCAAATATGGAAAAATCTTTATAACACACTATAGGTCACATGTTTGACTCAGTCGCATCAAACTTGGTCATGATGCTTGTTTAAGACATTGCTTGGATGCGGTTGTGTCAGGTGAGCGATCCAGGGCCATCATGGCCCTCTTGTTATTTTTACATAAGCAGGTTGTATTGACAGCAAATTACCCATGCAGCTAACTCATTGACATCAGTTCAGCTTTCATTTTCTGTTGGGAAAACAATTCTGTGTTGTCTCAAACTAGGTATTTAAGTAATTTTACCTTGGAAATGTGCATCATATCACTACCAAACCTTCTTCAAAACAGATTCCGGAGACCTATTTATAGCATGTCGTTTCTAAAAATGGAAGATTGGGATTTTCAATTGTCAGCAGCTTTACTAATATAAATATAGAGAGCAGAAATGTAAGTCTATAAGAAGTATCTAGGGTTTTCCTTGTTCATGTATTTTAAAGTCAGCAATTGTTATTCCCCACCCCCCACCCCCCCTTAATTCTTTTGATTTTACAGTTATATAAAAAAAATTATGATTTATATAAAAATAACATACTTAAAATTTCTATTAGATAAGCTGGAGGCCACTTTAAATTGTAAACCCACTTAAAGCTATAATTTCTGCTGCAAAAAAATCATTTTGAGTATTTAAACTCATGTATGAAATAATAGTTGGCATATTTATTACTCCTGTGACTCAAGACTGTTATTAAATTGGTGTAAGGGCATGATTGACTTATAATCTTAATTAAATTTCGTAAAAGTAAGCTTATGTAAAGACATTGCTTTTGATTGCTTTTAAGATCCCTAGGATTAAGGTCACAGTGTATTTTTTTGTGTATGGTCAAGGTGGCTATAACTAAAAATAGAAAATTTGATGTCCAGTCAATAAGTAAATTAGAATGAGGTAATACAATGAGACTTTCTTTGTTGCAAGCTTTTGTGAAGACCTCTCTTTGGATTGCTTTTTGGTCAAGGTCAAAATAGAATATTTTTTTTAGGAAAGTTTCCCTGTCATGTCTGAAGTTTGGAATGAGATATTTCAACGAACTTTGTGTATAGCAAGCTTATGTTAAGATGTCGGAGTGTTGCTCAGATCTTGGATGTAACTTGATTAGTCAGAATCCCCCAATGAATGTAATATATTGACCAATGAAAATCCTGATGGACAGAATTCTGAAAAAAAATTTGTAATCTCGAGGCCAGGCTTCTATAATTGAAATTTTGTATTACTTTCATATTCTTTGTATATCATTTTATTTTTAGATCAATTACTCGGAGATGTTAGTAAATCCAGACTGTTACAACTTGAAACAGATACAGTGGGAGACTGGCTGTTATATTGAACTGAAATACCACCAATCGGTAAGTCACTGTCACATTTCATTGGAAAAATAAAATGTGATGTCAGATAATTGTCAGACTGATTTCATAAATCATCTTGCATTTTTTTATTATCAGTTTGCTTCTTTTAACCTAAACCAGGTCATTCTAATCCTATATGAGATAAAACGTCCAATAAATGATTAGGCCAGAATGGTAGTCTAGTGGTAAGGTGTCTACCTCTCAACCTAGGTATCATAGACTCGAGCCCAAATCGGGTCATGACCATAATTCTTCATATGACACCAGTACTTGTGGGTTCCAGGAAGTGGAATCGAAAGTGATTTATGTAAGTTGCAAGAACTTGTTTTGCAATCAAGCTTAGATAAATATGTTTGAACCAAAGCAAAACCATCTGACATATTAAAAGAAAATTTCAAAATATTTGCATATTGAATAGAAAAAAGTTAAGAACATGATCAGACAGCACAGATAATTATGCTGGCTTTCCTTGGTCTTCACTATGGTCAGTCATAGAAATATTGAGCTGCCACCAAAAGGTTAAGGATTAAGATAGCTGAACCGTCCAATTACCTGCACAAAGTAAACCAAAATCGGCAATGATATAAAGATTATGATGACCCCAATGCATATAGTATTTGAACTGTCCGTAAAAGGTAAACCAAAATAACAAAGGGCAAAGATTTTTATGCCCCCCGGCATACGGTTTTTGAACCGTCCTTCTGACATACTGTCAAGTTGGAATTATCTTAACTTCTTAAAATCTACTTGTACCAGTGGCTTCATAATGCACATATTTACTCATCAATACAAAGTAAATGATCGGTATATCTTACATTTTATCCTAGCTTTTTGCCTGGACATTTGTGTTTTACAGCATATTCTTGTTTTTTTGTTTTAGGAAGAAAATGAGTCGACTGTCACATCCCAAAGAAGAAGAAAAAGAAATCCATATATATTGGTGAAATCTTATCAGCATGCTGAACAAGCATTTGCATGCATATCTGTGGCAATTAGGAAGATCAAAGAGTTAATGAACACAATAAAGAAAGGTGCAGGTGTTACTGATCCGGTATGTTTAATGTACACTGTTGATTAAAGTGACTTGCCTCCAGATGGGGTAAATAAATCTTCTAAAATATCAAAGTAAAAAGAAAATATTTATAGTTTAAAAACTGTATAATGTTCACAATTCCGGTGTTACTTTGAATAAATTGACAAAATTTACTATTTTTTTTAATAAATTGACAAAATTTACTATTTTTATCACTCTCACTTTTTCATTTAACAAAGTTTTTTACAGTCTGAAAGTTTATCATTTTTAGAGAAAATTTTCAAGATAAGTACTAACAAAATAACGGACAATGCAGACCAATGATCCGACGGCATCGATGTGCTAAGAATCTATTGCCACCAGCAGGACAATTGTTCATTGAGTCCTTTACTTATTTAAATGCTGATCAAATTCATTCCTTTTTGCACTTAGAATATTTAAATCATGTATATTAAGATACTTCATTATTATGCCCCCATTTCGAAGAAAAGGGGGTATATTGCTTTGCACTTGTCGGTCCATCGGTCCGTAGACCAAATGGTTTCCGAGTGATAACTAAAGAACCCTTAGGTCTAGGAACTTCAAACTTGGTATGGTGATTGGTCATGACCAGTAGATGACCCCTATTGATTTTGGGGTCAAGGGGTCAAAGGTCAAGGTCACATTGACCTTGAAAGCAAAAACGGTTTCCGATCAATAACTAAAGAACCTTAAGGCCTATGAACTTCAAACATGGTATGGTGATTGGTCATGATCAGTAGATGACCCCTATTGATTTTGGGGTCAAGGGGTCAAAGGTCAAGGTCACATTGACCTTGTAAGCAAAAACGGTTTCCGATCAGTAACTAAAGAACCTTAAGGCCTAGGAACTTCAAACTTGGTATGGTGATTAGTCATGATCAGTAGATGACCCCTATTGATTTTGGGGTCAAGGGGTCAAAGGTCAAAGTCACATTGACTTTGAAAGCAAAAACAGTTTCCGATCAATAACTAAAGAACCTTAAGGCCTAGGAACTTCAAACTTGGTATGGTGATTGGTCATGACCAGTAGATGACCCCTATTGATTTTGGGGTCAAGGGGTCAAAGTTCAAGGTCACATTGACCTTGAAAGCAAAAACGGTTTCCGATCAATAACTAAAGAACCTTAAGGCCTAGGAACTTCAAACTTGGTATGGTGATTGGTCACGACCAGTAGATGACCCCTATTGATTTTGGGGTCAAGGGGTCAAAGGTCAAGGTCACATTGACCTTGTAAGCAAAAACGGTTTCCGATCAGTAACTAAAGAACCTTAAGGCCTAGGAACTTCAAACTTGGTATGGTGATTAGTCATGATCAGTAGATGACCCCTATTGATTTTGGGGTCAAGGGGTCAAAGGTCAAAGTCACATTGACTTTGAAAGCAAAAACAGTTTCCGATCAATAACTAAAGAACCTTAAGGCCGAGGAACTTCAAACTTGGTATGGTGATTGGTCATGACCAGTAGATGACCCCTATTGATTTTGGGGTCAAGGGGTCAAAGTTCAGGGTCACATTGACCTTGAAAGCAAAAACGGTTTCCGATCAATAACTAAAGAACCTTAAGGCCTAGGAACTTCAAACTTGGTATGGTGATTGGTCACGACCAGTAGATGACCCCTATTGATTTTGGGGTCAAGGGGTCAAAGTTCAAGGTCACATTGACCTTGAAAGCAAAAACGGTTTCCGATCAATAACTAAAGAACCTTAAGGCCTAGGAACTTCAAACTTGGTATGGTGATTGGTCACGATCAGTAGATGACCCCTATTGATTTTGGGGTCAAGGGGTCAAAGGTCAAGGTCACATTGACCTTGTAAGCAAAAACAGTTTCCGATCAATAACTAAAGAACCTTAAGGCCTAGGAACTTCAAACTTGGTATGGTGATTGGTCATGATCAGTAGATGACCCCTATTTATTTTGGGGTCAAGGGGTCAAAGGTCAAGGACACATTGACCTTGTAAGTAAAAACGGTTTCTGATCAATAACAAAAGAACCCTTAGGCCTAGGAACTTCAAACTTGGTATGGTGATTGGTTATGACCAATCAGATGACCCCTATTGATTTTGGCGTTAAGGGGTCAAAGGGCAAGGTCACATTGACCTCTTAGGTAAAAACGGTTTCAGATCAATAACTAAAGAACCATTAGGCCTAGGAACTTCAAACTTGGTATGGTGATTGGTCATGACCAGCAGATGACCCTATTGATTTTGGGGTTAAGAGGTTAAAGGGCAAAGTCACATTGACCTTGTAGGTTAAAATGCTTTCCGATCAATAACTTAAGAACTCTTCTGCCTAGGAACTTCAAACTTGGTATGGTGATTGGTCATGACCAGCAGATGACCTATAGATTTTGGGGTCAAAGGTCAAGGTCACATTGACCTTGTAGGTAAAAACAGTTTCCGATCAATTAACTATAAAAGCTTAGGCTTAGGAACTTCAAACTTTGTGTGATGATTGGTCATGACCAGCAGATGACTCTTTTGAGTTTTAGGTGAAGGGGTCAAAGGTCAAGGTCACATTGACCTTGTAAGTAAAAACGGTTTCTGATCAATAACTCAAGATTGCTTAGGCCTAGGAACTTAAAACTTGGTATGGTGATTTGTCATGACCAGCAGATTACTCCTATTGATTTTGGGATCAAGGGGTCAAAGGTCACGGTCACAATGACCTTGTAAGTAAAAACGGTATCCAATCAATAACTAAAGAACGCTTCGGCCTAGGAACTTCAAACTTGGCATGGTGATTGGTCATGACCTGCAGATGACCCCTATTGATTTAGGTGTCAAAGAGCAAGGTCACATTGACCTTGTATGTTAAAACGGTTTCCGATCAATAATAAGAGAACCCTTAGGTCTAGGAACTTCAAACTTGGCATGGTGATTGGTCATGACCAGCAGATGACCCCTTTTGATTTTGGGGTCAATGGGTCTAAGGTCAAGGTCACATTGACCTTGTAGGTAAAAACGGTTTCTGATCAATTTACTAAAAACGCCTAGGCTTAGGAACTTCAAACTTTGTGTGATGATTGGTCATGACCAGCAGATGACCCCTATTGAGTTTTGGGTCAAGGGGTCAAAGGTCAAGGTCATGACCAGTAGATACTTTATAACCCTTATTAATTGTTTGATCACTGGGTCAGAAGTCATGCATAATAACCTTATCACATGACTAATTGGCTGCTGATAGTGGGGCATACATGTTTTACAAACATATCTTGTTTACTTCATTATTTTGATGCTTGACAGCAAAACTGTAGTAATTCCTTTTGTTATTTCATATAAGTTATTGCAGTTTTGCGGTCAACCCACGATTTGAACTTTGTATATTTCTTTTTCAGGCACATCACCCTGCTTATTATTACGGCTACAGGAGAAACAAATATGGTGTAAAATATCGTTAATGGACAATGTTGTATCAGACTGTACTGTAGTTGTTATGTTTCCATGGTAACAGGACAATAATTACACTAAAAGATAATGTTGGATGAGCACAATCATGGAAAAGGTTATGTAGGAGATTAACACAGACTTTGCTGGAACATAAATAGATTAGCCTTTGCCACCATTACAGGGTCATGCCAGATTTCATATCCATGGATTTTGACTTAAGACTCTGTACTGTTGGCAACTCAATTTGTTTATTTTGATATTGAAATCCCTTAATTTTTGTACGGACTAATTGAATTTAAAAGCAGACTTAATACAGTGGTTAATAATATTTAGTAAACAGTGAGCATTCATTTGTTTTCATGTCCTGGAGCTGTGACAACAATTTAACTTAGAACTTTATTCTTGTGACTTGTTACAGTGAGACTGCAGCTGCTATTCAGATGACTGTTCCTTGATGCTATATAAATCCTAATAGTGCTTAAACTGACTGTTAAGTAATTGTGTAAGTAAATTCTTTATTCATTGAGGCAACATGGATGGACAAAACAAAATATTACATTTGTTCATAGTGATTGTAACTTATTTATTTATTTACTTTTAGTCTGTGCTACATATTTATTTATTTACCTTTTGTCTGTGCCAACTTATACAATCAAATACTGTTTCTGTGATTGATCACATCTAAATACTTTTTCTGAAAAAGATCACAATGAAATACTATTTCTGAAAAATTTAATGATCACAATTGATATTTCTGTAAATGATAACAATTAAATACTGTTTCTTTGATTGATCACAACTAAATACTTTTTTTCTGGAAAAAGATCACAATGAAATACTATTTCTGTAAAATTTAATGATCACAATTGCTACATGTATTTCTGTAAATGATCACAATTAAATACTGTTTCTGTGATTGATCACAACACCTTTTCTGAAAAAGATCACAATTAAATACTGTTTATGTAAATGAATGCAATTAAATATGTTAGTTAATTAAAATAATGAACTTAATTTAACATTCATGAATAAATTGTTTCTTCAAAGTTGTGTGCTGTTGTATTTTGTCTACACTTGTTAAGTGCCCCTCTCCCTTATACATGTCAAAAGAATGATCCTTCATCAAAATTTAATGGCTACAATTTTAAAAGCTTACAAGTTTTATTTTTTTGCAATGTTTGTAGATCAGATACATGTAATGTGATGATGTCGGTCTAATGCAGTAAATTCAATTTTGCATTAATACAAATCTTTACATTTATAAAGGTCATTTTGAATAAATAGCAAGAATACAATAATGTAACTGCAATTATATTTAGAAATCTGTTCCAACAATGGGCGATCTTTTCAGCATTACCAGATGCATTATTTTCATACACTTAATATTTAATGTATTTGCAGAACAAAATTGGGAATTTTTATGAAATATTATTTACAAACTGTCTGCTGAATTTATACAAATCTGTAAGAATTCATACGAAATCATTAAATGATGACATAAATACTATTATTGATGCAAGTTGTTTAAAATTTATTCACCATAATAAAATAGATCATATTTTGGTAAGCCCTATCTCTTGTTAAAGTAGGTTGTTTTTTATTTTCTTATAGTATCTTTCAGTATCTTGTCCCTTTGAATTTCAGTTGCATGCCTCTTGATATGTTTACAGATTTTCAAACATCAAATGTAGAAGAATTAGGAACACAGTAGTATATTCCCAATCCATTGTATCATTTTACATTTTTATTCCAAAAAAAAAAGCAGGTTAGTCACCCACTCATTAAAGTTGAACATCTGATAATGTTACTTGTCCATGTCTGTCAGTCAGCCCATCTTTTTAGCCCGTGACTTTAACTCAAAAGGGACTTAAAATATTTTTAAGTCTGGAGCATAACTTGAAAACCACTGGTTGGAATTTTTACAATGCAACTTCATACAATGGTCAAATGCAGTGGAATGAAGTACAGTGCTCAAGAATCATAACTCTATTTGGACTAATTACATAGTTATTGCCCTTTGGTACTTTTTTGTCCAGTGCATAACTTGAAACCACTGGTTGGAATTCTATGCAACTTAAATGGTCAATCGTAGGGAGATGGAGTGCAATGCACAAGAGCCATAACTCTATTTAGACTAATTGCATAGTTATTGCAGTTTGTTCCTTTTCCTTGTCAAGTGCATAACTTACAACCTAATGTTTGGAATTCAATGCAACGTCATATAATGGTTAAGCGCAGTGAAAGAAAGTGCAGTGCTTAAGAACTTGACTCTATCTGGACTAATTACAGAGTAATTCAGTAAAACTTCATCAATGATCAACCACTGTGAAAGGAAATGCAATGATGTAACAGAACCACAACTATCTTTAATTAACCATAACCCTGTTTCAATTCTTTTACAAGGTATTCTGTTACTAGTACTTTCCTCATTTCCAAAGCAATCTTTGGGGTGGGTATTAATCACATTTAGTGATAGCTCTAGTTATGCACAATGTCGTGTCAGTCTGTCCATTGGTAGACCACATGGTTTCACTGTTTACCTTGAAAACTATAAATCACAGTCTTCCTATTTCACAAAGTGATTGATCATAACTAGTAGATGACCCCTATTGATTTTGGGGTCACAGGTCAAATGTTTAGGTCATAGGAAACAATGGAAAACTTTTATACACTAGATTTAATAGGTCTGGATTTGGATGACTTGGGAAAAGGGGTTGGTTTGGAAAGTTTTTTGAAGGTATTTGATTCAGGTAAGTAGAATCTAACCATTAAATTTTCCCTTTTTTTGACCAAAAACCGGGGCCATTTTTTCTTAACCAAAATTTTGACCATCAATCTTAACCAAATTTTTCCCACTAAATTTACCCCAATTTTTCCACCCAATTAAAGGGTTCCTAACCTTTTGATATTGCTTTCCCGACTTAAAATTTTTTAACCTTTTCTGCCCCAAATTGATTTTATTTTTGACCTTTAAAATTGGGATATTCTAATCTTGGGTTTAAAGTCAAAATTTTTGCATTATTTGACAAATTTATGAAACTCAATTCTATTTAATAATTTCCTCCATGGAAATTTATAACAAAAACTTAAAAGGGGAAAAATATTGTTGTTTAACTTTTTTTAAATTTGTTGTTTTGCATTATTGGGTAAAATTTTAATTTTAAAAAAATTTCTTCAATTTTTAAAAATTTTCTTTAACATTTTAAAATAAAATTTTGTTAAAATTTTCTCCAAGTATTTAAAAAAATTTTCTAAATGAAACCTTTTTAAAAGGAAAAATTTAAAATTTTTTAAAAGAAAAAACATGTTGACTTTCCTATCAAAGGGTTTCCTATCAAAAACTAAAGACCCCTTAGGCCTAGGAACAACAAACTTGATATGGCGATTGTTCATGACCATAAGATAACCCATATTATTTTTTTGGGTCAAGGTCATATTGGCCTAGTAGGTAAAAACAGTTTCCAATCAATAACTTGACAACTCATGGGCCCTTGGTCTTCAAACGTTGTAGGTGCATTGGTCTTGGCAAGTAAGTAACCCCTTTTGATGTTGTGGTCAATAGTCAAGGTCATATTGACCTTGTAGGTAAAACAGTTTCCAATCAATAACTTTACGATCCATGGGGCCTTGGCACTCAAACTGCATAGGTGCATTGGTCTTAGCAAGTAGATGACCCCTATTGATTTTGGGGTCAAGGGCTCAAAGGCCAAGGTCATTTTGACCTTGTAGGTAAAAACAGTGTCCTCACCCATTGGGCCTTGGCACTCAAACTACATAGGTGCATTGATCCTTGACATTTAATTGACCTAGGGTGGGGGAGTAACATTTCACCAACACTTTACAAATCACATGACTTATTTATACTTTCTAGCTTTACTTTACTGATGAAAGAAGACACTGGGTAACATTTTGTGCATTATTTCAGGAACAAGCAGTCACATCACAAAACATACAAAAGCAGATGGTTTCGTGAACACCAAAAGTTCACATTTCACTCATGGCTGCGCCACTCGTGAAATATACAGTTTGGTGCTCTCTCGGTGAAATATATTCCGATCTTACACTTAACTTAACAAATATCCTCTAACTACCCTGAAATTTTACCGGTATACTGTTGCATTTTTATTTTTGTTTGAGGTTCTTTAACCTGTTCATTATTTTTAAGGAATAAAATTAATTTTAGGCAAATTTTGATTTATAGAGAGGAGGGAACAAATTTAGTGGTCTTCAGCCATACTTGTAACAACAACAACAACGATATAAACAAATATGGCTGCCTCCATGGTACAGAGAATTAGCCGGTTATTTTTTCGTATTAAACAATACATTCCCGTCAATCCGTCTGAATATAGATATGCAGGTCTTTGTGGAAAACTACAAACAACATTCATGAAAGACATGAGGTAAATTTATTGAAGCAAACGTATCTGTTCAAATAAAAAACCTTTGAAAGTCAATACTGATCAATTTTGAGGTTACAGTAGCCTACTGGCGTGCGAGTAGTCTAGTTCCCGTACAAAAGCATTACCTGTATTTTTTCATTTCATTTAAATTCTTAATCTTTACTAGCATTCTTTAGAAAATAGATATCAAATCACACAAATATGCAAACCTGACAAAAATCCAAGTGTGGAACTCGAAACGCATTTAAAATCCAAATAATTATTGCACAATCACAGATTACACGGATGAATATCATTTTAATCAATGAAAATGCTATCTTTAGCGATGTCAATAACCGAATACTTCAGAGCATACTGTTGTACACAAACAAATCTGACTGTCACATAATATATACATGTGGGACTGTTTTGGCGAGAACATTTTTGCTAAATTATTTACACCAGTGTTAAACAACAGGTTTATCGTGAACAAAATACCTCGAAATCAATAAGGATTACATACCCGACATGGAAATTCTAAATTTTGAATCATTTATTATATTCAGACTTCCCCGAGGTCACTGGTGCAGGGCTAACGTGCTTGTTTAGGGTGTGCAGGTATATTATACTGTGCTCCTCTTAGTTCACGGTACTTAACACTTTAAAACAGTAAAGAACACAAAGTCAAAAACAGTCATCAGCATGATTAAATTTGGTAACCCAGTGTAGTATTTAACTTTCTCATCATTGTTTTCAAAGGACGATTCATTTAGTTTGACCTGCTGTAATTCTTGTTTCAAAGCATAGTTTTCATTTAGCAGTCGCTGAAGTTCACTGTTAACTTGACTTTGTGTCACTTGTCCCAGTTCATCAACACTAGTGTCATCATCATTGTTTGGTTCATCAAATGTTAGTTGGCATATTGGCTCTGGGTCTTGGTTCAAAACATCTGCAGGCAATGGTGTGGCAACAAACTCTGGCTCATTTGTGCTTGATAACTCTATCAGAGACCTGGCAACTTGGTGCTTTATACGATTCTTTTCCCTTTCTTGGACTCTTTTGTACCTGAAAAAATTATTCAATAAGGTCAAAAGATGTCTTTCATTTTTTTCCATTTATCATCTACATATGAGCCGTGTCATGGCAAAACCAATATAATGGCCCTGATCGGACTGAATGGATGCGCAGGCTGGTCTGGCTCTATGCTGGTCGCAAACCCATTATGTTGGTTTTGTCGTGACACAGCTCAAATATACTATATCCTATAGAAATTCTATTTGAAAGACCCTGGCTATATATGATACAGTTCTGTTATTACTTTATTCAGTGTTAAACTTTTAAAATAAAAAAAAAATTACATCAATAGGACAAGAATATAGAAGTAACTTGTCAACAAAAGTTAGTCATCAGTTTTTTTATAGTTTGAGCAAAATATTTATTTATATATCTTGAAACATATATAGAACACATACCGTTTCATGCCAGTTGAAGCTTGCTTAGCTTTCTTGCAGGATTTAGTGGGAGTCAAAAGGTCACTCAGTTGTAATGTTGGAGCCCAGTCTGGATTTGACTTATCATATAGATCAGCTGGTTTTCCTGCAATTTCATACACAATATTATTAATTTAACAAGATCTAGAACTTATCAATAACTATTGTTTATAAAGTACAATAAATTGTACAGCTTGACTTTTTTCCAGTTTTTTTTTATTGCAACAAAGAATATTTGTATTAAGAAATCATTGGGTGTGTACTGTACTTATTCTGACAGTAGCAGTAAGCTGTCGTGGAGGGGCTTTTCTCATTACAACAATAAAATTGGGTGACAATACATGGATGCCGTGGATGCAATTAGTAACGTACCGCTTATAAAATGCGCTGAACATATCCTTGTCGAAGGAGTGGGATGAGTTTTCCAGTTGATATTCGCTAGCCAAACCCTCCGTCGCTCTGTACTGGTCGGAGAGATAACTCGGACGCATAGATAACCCCGACACTTGAGAAATATAATTTTTTTAACTTTGTTTTTTAACAAAAAAGCACATGGTCACCTAGTAGTATAGGAGCAGGGCAGAATGTGATGATTTTTTGTAAGTTGGTAAACTTTTTAATATTTTTCAATTAACCGAAACTTTTCGTTGGCAAAAACTGCTTCAAAATGTTCCTTTTACTAAATTACAATGAGGTAGTTAGAAATGTATTGACCACAGGCCACTGACTTGGGAAATATGTTTGAAAACTTGTTTTTACATCAACAAAAAATATATAAAACATATAATATGTAAAAATAAATAAATGATGCTGATTTTCCTGTCATTTTTTACTTAAAAAATTTAAGTGTCGACTTTATCTACTGTTGAGGGGTAAAAAGATCATGTTTTTTATACCCTATTCAGAACCTTAAAGAAGTACCAATTCTCATTTTCATACAGAATTTTTTGTAGTGTAATGTAAAGTTTTTGAACTGAACTTTATTTAGGTGGTTCAATTTTTAAAATATACAGGAAGATTATTAAGATATTACAAAAAGTATGTGATTTAGTGTCGGAGTTATCTCTCCAACCAGTACTTAATTCTTTTGTTTGCTGCCCCTCATGCTCTCTAATTTTAGGAATATAATGAAAGCTACGTTTAACAGAATCACCGGCTGTATTAAAACAACCTTGAACCCAACAGGAAACTACCATTGTCAAAGTTAAAAATAGAATTTCTCGCTCTGATTACTCGGCAGGAAAGCCGCTTTGTTATCCTATCAAAATGGCGGATGGTAACCGGTCGCCCGGATGTGTGACGTCATGCGGGAACTATCTATAAACTTACACAACAAGAACTGTTATAAACTGTATCATTTAGTCATTTTTTTGCTATATGACACAAGGAAACAACAATATATTCAATCAAAATTAGTTTTCATTTGTCAGATGTAAACCGTGTGTCGGCCATTTTCAAAACAGTATGTCATCATTTACCTCACGGTAATGGTGATTTATTTCAGTTTTTTCACGTTTCAGTTAAAATTTCTTTAAGTTATTTTGCATAATTTTAAATATTAAAAGTATCATTACATTGTAACTCAAAATTCATTTTTTCAACAAACAAGAACATTTAGGAAATGATGATTGTTTCAGACATATGCACAAATTTAATGGACTTTTGTTGTGTTTTGCAGAAGTTTGTAAAATGTTGTTCAGTTTTACGTAACAATCTATAGATTTAGATTATTTTGCACAGAAACTTTGTTGTTAAGGTGTTTGAATAAGATATGTCAATTCTGACCAATTATAACAATGGTCACATGAAAATATGCCATTACTGTGAGATAAGTGATGACGCGGTATTAGTGATGTTGAGTATAATATAGTCGTACCTGGGGTGTGAGAGGTCTGGGGTTCAAATCTCAATTGGGGCAACTTTTTTAAGTGTCATTTTTAAGGAAGTAGCCATGATATGCAAGGATAAAGTGTGGCTGTCATAAAAAATGAACATAAATGATTTTTTGATGCAACTCAAGTCCTTAAAAATTCCCTATGTATCAGTCCCTGCATCTCAGTGAGCTGTAAGATGAATTATAGTATATAAAAATAAACTAATACAGGAAAATACATGCAGATATACAGTACGATTAAGATTGCAGAGATCAGAAAATACCACAGTGCCTGCAGCCCTTTGGCTACTTATTATTCTGCTTCAGTCAAATACAGGGAGACAATTCAGTTTATGATGCTATTAACAGAATGCAATATTTACTTCCCTTGATCTGTTCAGAAACAATGCCAAGGCAAATTCAAAAGAGGGGTAATAAAACCGTATATTTTTCTATCAGTTCAGAAATTAAAAATTGATTTAATTTTTATGATGCTTAAAGGGACTGCACTGAGAGACTCCCAGTGCAGTCCCTTTAAGCATAATAGAAATTAAATCAATTACTGATCAATGTAATCATCCCCAGGTCTGCTGAGTTTTTGACCGGAAATATTTATTTAGACTTTTGTACCATAATTTATGTTGCAGTGATTTTTTCGGTCATATTCCCAATTATTGAAAATAGTATATTATTTTCACAACCAACAGGAACAAATTTCCAATTGAAAGTTACAAAATAAAATTATGAAAAACAAAATGTAAAATCTTTGAAATTAAGGGCTTCTTCACTGTCATTATTATTAAATACAGTAGGCCTATATGAAGATGTTGTCCTAGACAGTGATTCTCTGCATTCATTTAATCACTGCAAAATTTAAGTCATGCATTTTTCCCCAATTTTTAAGAAAACATCGCTGAAATTCCCAATTCCATGGGTTAGGGTACCCAAAAATCTTGGGGGAAAAAACCCTGTGATGAAGGTTTGAGTTAATAATGTGTGTGCGAAATTTCAGAGCATTCCCTAACTATATTTCCAGAATAATTTGCTGTTTTTTTTATGTGCACAATGTGTTAAAAGGTGAATAGTGTGCTAAAATTATGGGAGGTGATCCACTGTGATAGCAGTGTGTTTATGTTCATCCTAGTCTCCCTTTTACAAGATTTTTATTGTTAAACTATATATAATTCTGTGAGCCAGTGTGAGCAATAATGTTGAGTTTTGGTGTCAATAGACACTACCCTATATATTTTTCGGAAATGTAGATGATAATTATGATGATTTTAAAAACAAAAAATAATTATTTGATAATGTCAAAAATATTTTCAATTTTTTGCATTGACTCAGACATTTGTCCAAAGCTTATTCATTTCTGTGGATCAAATCAGCATTAAAACAAAAATTTTCGTTATTTTTTTTGGACTTTACGAGTGAGATTGATGACATATTTACCATTATCATGTCTTTGTTTTTCTTTATTTTCAGATATTCTCAACCACTCAGAACAGTAACACTTGCGCCAGCATTAGGATTCTTGAGCTTTTTCATGAAAAAGGAGGAAGAACTTACTGACCAAGATAAAGTACGGGAAGTTGTTTACAAGGGAATATACGCCAAAGAGCAGGGGAATATTCGGGAGGCCAGCAAGGCGTTTCATGAAGCCTTGAACATGTCGACGGACTTCTTGAATGAGAAAAAGATTTCAAATAAAGAAAATTTGAATCATAAGGTATTCATATATGACCAGATTGCAAATTTATGTTTGGAAACTGGTGACTGGAAATCAGCAGAAGTAGTTTTTAAGGACACAATGAAGTTAGCGTTGCAGTTAGGAATGGCGGAGAACGATAATGCTATGATAGAAATGTCTTTGAAACTTGCCACAATATATTTATATTCCGGTAGAATAGAACTTGCCCTAACTGGACTGAAGCACTGTATAACGGAACAAGAAACTAAACTGAAAGCAAGACAATCTGCAGCAGAGAATGGAAGCACAGAAGACGATTCTGAGAAGGCAAAAGAAGAGGATGTCAATACTAAAGTATTACTAGGAAAAGCAATGAAACATCTAGCCAACTATCATCTACAGAAAAATGATTATAAAGGCGCTGAGTCACTGTTGCAGAAATCTCTTGAAATTTCACAGGAAACATTGGGTAGTAATGATGATAACTCATTTGCTATAATGAATGACTTGGCAACTTGCCAAATATTGTTGAAGGAGTATGAAAATGCTGAAAAACTGTTAAAAGATGGTATAAAACTCAGTCGTAAAGCTCAGAGTCTCATGCAGTCTGCATTTCTATCAAATCTTGGTGCTTTGTATATAAGGACTAAAAGATTTAGTGAGGCTGAGAAAGCATGTGAACAGGGATTGAAGGTAGCGGAGAATGGAAATGATGAGTACCTTAAAGGCCCGTGTAGAGATTGTCTTGCACGTTTAGCCCAGATAAAAGCTGCTAGTAAAGACTGAAACCTGATGTCACATTGGCCATAGCTTTTCCAGCAGCGGTGTAGTATTAGTGAAAGCCATGGCCAGTGTGTACTTAATACAAAATAATTTATGTATAACTAATATTTCAGTGAAAGCATTGACTGAAAGAACCTTGAGCTTTGTTATTGTTGAAATAGTGTTGTTCTGAACTTTTAAGACTGAAGTGATACCATTTTGTTATTTCCTCATTATATTGACACAGTATGTTACATGTTTTTAGGGAAATTTTTTAAAATATGTAAAAGTAAACCGTGCAGAACATGGTCCGTGTCCAAGTTAATAAAAAATTTAGAGCACAATATTAGGACTATTAAATTTTGATGGGTCAGAAACCAGCACAGAATGATTAATAACCTAATATTCGACTCAGAAGTCTGATAAAAGTAACTCGGATAACAGTTTTATAACCTTGAGGCGAGATGGCATATCTGTGCCGTCCAATGTCCTTTCTTGGTGTGCATTGATTGCAGGAGTAAAATCAGTTAATGCCAGTGTGCCAAGGTTTAAATGTACTATCATCTATCACACAAGGTGATTTGTCGAAGTCTAAGGCACTTTCATAAAAAAACTTCAAATTAATTGGGAATATATGATTGTAAATGTATGATATATATATAAAGGTATATTTATTTTTTACCTTCGCTAAGCTTCTTGTTAAGTTTGATGTTTTGAAAATTTGTTTATACATTTGGAGACATAGGTTTCATGTTGTTAAAATCACATTTTTTTTAAAGATTTCTTTTAACCCTTTCCCCCATGAGCATATTGTGAAAAATGGCCGTTTTCACTGAAAAGCCTCCTGTTACAAGTTCAAACTGCTATGAAACTATGAAAAATGCTTCAATACTAATCAAACTTGGCACAAATGTTGACTGGACCATTGCCTTTGTAACTACATGCTCAGTCTTTAATTTCCTGTTACCATGGCAACGAGGGGACATCTCAAAATTGCCAAAAATCACTATTTTGCCTCGATTTTTTCCATCAAAATTTATTTCAAAGTGCTGCAACTGTTCAAGGGATTGAGATAGAGTCAAAGGCTTTTCAGCTTGGTTAAACGTTACATTATGATCGACCTGGGGTCATTTTTACCCTCTCACAAGTCCAAAATTTTCTTGGCGATGAGGGGGACTCCGCCCCCCTAACAGAAGGGGGCACATCCCCCTTCTGGCAACCCCCTGATGTATCTTTTGGATGGGGGGCGGCGCCGAAAAAGTGCTCAATTTTTTAAGCAACATTTTTCAAACGAAAACTTATGTTTGGGGTCCAAATAGGACATTTTTTCACTATTTGAGGCCTTAAAAAGGGGGGGGGGGTCGAAAGTGCGTTGTTTCGCGTATATATGTGGTAAAGGGTTAAGTTTGTAAACCATTATAAGAATATTTTCTTTAAAAATGCATCAATATTATAAAAAAGTTATTTATTTGTGAATAAAATTGTTCAGAGTTTGCCATGTTTTGTGTTTCAGTTTTTGCAGTCTGAATGTAGAAGTTGACATTAGTATATACAAATTTATTTTTAGTTTGTGTTGGAAGCAATAAGCTTTATATTGAAACACTCTTGAATCCATTCCTGGAACCAACTAGTACTAAGCAATTAATATAAAGTTTCTTGCTCAGGGAAACAATGGTTTGCCACTGACAGGGTTTGAACCAATGCAGCTAGCAATCATTAAATTACTAGTCTGAAGTGTTAACCACTCGGCACGGCCTCCAAGTTTACATTCATGAGTTATTCTGCTTAGTTTATACAAAATGTAAGTGAACAGTTCTAGACCTTGACAGTAAGTAAGGTTTTAGTATTCCTTAGTACATGTACATGTCTTCTTCAACTGAAATTGATTTTTTTAACCATAGACAATGTAGCAATAACATCACCTTTTATGTTCTGTGACCTTTAATTTCTTTGTTCCTCTATGCAGGAGAATGTAGCAATAATATAATAATGTCACCTTTTATATTCTGTTGACCTTTAATTTCTTTGTTCCTCTATGCAGGAGACAATTCTGTTTTCCATATTTGAAATGAAGTGTAAACATTTAATCTACTCACACGAAGCGAATCTGAACAAGAAAAACCTTAAAGGTATCAAATAATAATACAACTATTTTTAAGAAAGAGAACAAATAATTATATCATTAATGATTATATTTTTTATATTAAAGCACATGGGACCAGTAAGTGAATATGGTGTGCTTTTGTGATTACAAATTGCTCGTTTGTCCGAGCATTTCAAAAGTGATAGAGTGCCAAGTACTGCTGAGGCAAACAATAGATATGAGCCACATCACGACAAAAGCAACATAGTGCATTTGCGACCAGCATGGATCCAGATCTATTACAAGTAGAGAAACTGATAGGGAACAGCATGGATCCTGATCAGTCTGCATGGATGTGCAGGCTGGTCTGGATCCATGCTGGTCGCAAACCCACTATGTTGGTTTTTTCTGATGCGGCTCATATCATTCCATGATTAGAAAATTTGGGGCCATGACTTTACAGAGAAGACATCTGGTTGATGGCAAATTTGTAGAAGGTATATATCTGCAGGGACATAAATACATGTACGTGTTTAATTCTTAAAGATAAATAGCAAATTTAATCATTTATTGTTAATGACACAGATTATGAGTTGTTTTTGATGTTAAAAGAAATATACCATTTAATGTTGTTTTTAAGCTGACAAATAACATAGTAACAGAAGATAACTGAATTCAATTTATTTAACTTTAACTTAGCAAAACAAACTGTTCAAATATCATGTATCTCAAATTTGACTTATTAAAGTGGCATGCCTGTAGGTAAATAATTATGCTTTTTTATCATGAAATGTTTGAGAACATATTTTTAAGTAAAATATTATAAAGTAAACAGATAAAATAAATTACATATTACAAACGGCACAATGTCATACAATTCATGAAAATTAGCCAAAAAGAGGCCAAAAATAGAAATATGGTGATGAATATTGTAAAATCAATCATTAATTACATAATGCCAAGCATATTATTACTTCAATCTTAGAACTTTTTCACGTTCAAAGTCAATGTCATCATACATCATGTTGGAAATTTAACAAAATTAGAGAAATTTAACAGAACTAGATTTCAAAACTGATGATGTGACGTCATGATATAATGACGTCACAAAGGAGAATGCGTGACATTACGTGGCAAAATCAGTGAAAAATAGCTTAAAATCACTTAAAAAGCATAAAATAAAAAGAAAATTTATTTGTTTTACATATAAGATTGAAATATATTTCATTCGTGAACACCAGCTATTATATTTTCACTCGTGGCTACGCAACTCGTGAAAATATTGCATCTGGTGTTCACTCAGTGAAATTATATTTCAATCTTACATGCAAAACAAACAAATATCCTCTATATATTTAGGAAATAGATAATATCGATATTGAGTGTGTTGTAGAATAATTTAAGGGTTCATGATCATATGTGCAGGAATACAATGCATTTAAATAATAAACTGTGCATTACGTACTATATTATAACGCAACAAAAATTAACATCTTTTTTCCATTCCTACATGCTAATAAATATTGTGTGAGTATTGATAAAAATATTGAACTTTATGTTGCGTAGAAGTGATATTCCTGAGGTCATTTGGTAAATTGACGTTATATCTAACGTCAAATAACAAGTTATAGTCAATAATGTCATGTGACTTTCCAAGAGACCTTTAGAAAAAGGTCACATATGACGTAGTCTCTTTATATAGTTGCAAAGAAAATTTAAAGTTTAAAACCATCTATATACCAATGTGACCTAACATACATAACTGTGTGAAGGAATAATATTTAACCAAATGCAATTAAACATTAAACCTTTACCCCATTAGCATATTGCGAAAAATGGCCGTCTTCATTGAAAAGCCTCCTGCAACAAGTTCAAACTGCTATGAAACTATGAAAAATGCTTCAATACTGATGAAACTGATAACATTTCTCAAACGATTACCAGTGTTTGGGGCCAAAATAGGGCATTTTTTCACTGTTTGAGGCCTCATAAAGGGGGGAGGGGGGCAAAAGCCATAGAAACACGCTTATATTCGGGAAAAGGTTAAGTACTTTTAAGTATTCGATGTACCAGTAAATAAAATTATAAGAGGATATTTTTTCGTTTGAGTGAAATATGGAATACATTTTCACGAAACATGATAAAATGCCACATATTTTCACGAGCCGGGACGGCGAGAGAAAATATGAGGCATTTTATCACGTTGAGTGAAAATATATACCATATTTCACGAAAAACGAAAAATAACCTTTTTATTTAATTTCATTATCAAAGAAAAATGGTTATGAACCACCTTGCCTGCTACGCAACTGCAATTATACAGAGCGCAGTAATATACATATCGTCTTGTTTTGCACGCGATATGTAGCGCTAGATTGTGACGTCACGTAAACAACTTTTTAAACGTCTGTACAGCGTTAATGACTGAATTAAAGATATTGGTGTTCGGATTTATTTTCTTAGTTAGACCATTTTCTATCATTCTAGATAGTTTTCAAAACAAAATTCAACAAAAAAGTTGTTTTTATTTATCAGATTTTTCAAACAAAATGGCGAAAGAAGTCCCTTAAAATAAATATGAGTTTTGACTCCGCCCACTTTCAAATTTATTTTTAAAAAATATGAAATATATTTGACAGATATTAAGAGGATATTTTTTCGTTTGCGTGAAATATGGAATATATTTTCACGAAACATGATAAAATGCCACATATTTTCACAAGCCGGTACGGCGAGTGAAAATATGTGGCATTTTATCTTGTTGAGTGAAAATATATACCATATTTCACGAAAAACGAAAAAAATAACCTTTTTATTTAATTTCATTATCAAAGAAAATGGTAACGAATCCCCTTGCTTGCTACCAACTGCAATTGTACAGCGCGCAGTAATTTATGCGGAAGCACGCGCAGTTTGGCGCTACATTGTGACGTCATGTAAACAACTCTTTAAACGTCTGTACAGCGTTAATTACTGAATTTAAGATATTGGTTTTCGGATTAATTTTCTTAGTTAGACCATTTTCTATCATGCTAGACAGTTTTCAAAACAAAATTCAAGAAAAAGTTGTTTTGTATTTATCAGATTTTTCAAACAAAACGGCGAAAGAAGTCCCTGAAAATAAATATGAGTTTTGACTCCGCCCACTTTCATATTTATATTTCATATTTATTTTTAAAAAATATGAATTATATTTGACTGATATAGCACCATATTTCATGGGTAAAATTAAATAAAGCATCATATTTCATAGGTAAAATTAAATAAGAATGCCTATTCACATGTAAAATTAAATTGTCTTTTTGGATTAGATTTATAATAAATTATTATGGTACAAAATAAACTTCAATTTGAATTTAAATCAGACAAAGAAATGCACTAAGACTAGACAATTAGGGTCGCTTGTCACATATGACAGGGAGTCATAAACGAGGGCTGTTCAATAAATACGAGGAAAAGTGCTGCCATATTTTTAATATTCATGGGAAATTGACATTCTCTTTACATTTTGTAAATAAAAAAATATAAACATGTACACAAAATTTCAATAAAATCGGATAAAAATTTATAGTACAATTTCAAGAATTTCTAAGGTAATGGCATTGAAACCAGCCCAACGTCGTAAGGACATCACGCTCAACACATGTATGAGAGTCACCCAAAACACGCACCAGTCCTAGTCCTTCTCGAAATACTCTCCGTGAAAAGAAACACATGTGACAAGGTTGTTGTTTTTCAAAAATGAAGAAATATACATGTAGTCATAAACAAGGACACAAATATATCTGAAATATAGAAATATAGTTGCAATAAACTGCTGGTAGTTCATTGATGAAACAATTAACAGGTATTTATTACAATATCATTTTCTTAGATTATTCTTGTAAATTACATTTGGATGAAACAACACTACACTCCTGTATAACTCTGATATAGGGTTATATGAGCTATCTGTATGACAGCATGATTGACTGTTCTTAACACTTGATTGGATAATGTACAATTTTCTAGGTTCAAAAGGGACATAATTCTGTATATATGCGAGTT